ATATCAACAGTACAGACAAACTGGAAGAAACAATAAATTTATACAGTGACGCGGTAATCGCAGCAAGCGACACCGCAATCCCCAAGATAAAAACAGGGTCAAAACCTGGTCTGGCGTGGTGGACCGAGGAACTAGAGCTGCTTAAAAAACGGGTTGTCACAATGAAGAGAAGAATTAGATGGGCAGCCGAGTGTAGAAGACAAAAAGTAATTAGCGACTACCTTGAAGCAAAGGAAAACTACGAAAATAAGGCAGAAGAAGCACAAACGCAAAGCTGGAAACAATACTGCCAGAAACAGGAGCGAGAAACCATGTGGGAGGGAATATATAGGGTTATTAGAGGCACGGAAAGAAGGAAAGACGACATACCACTCACGGACAAGGGAAAACAACTAGATGAAAAACAGTCGGCTGAACTACTCGCAAAAACATTCTTCCCAGAGGATGACACAAGAACTGAAGACGATGGGCATAGAAAAATCAGAGAAAAAGCAGAAATAGTAAATGAAGGGGAGCATGATGCAAACCATGATCCCCACTTTACAATGAAAGAACTCACAAACGCCGCCCAAAGCTTCAACCCAAGGAAGGCTCCTGGAGAAGACGGCATAACGGCAGACATAGACCTGAACGCAATAACTGCAGCTCCGGGTCTATTTCTCGCCATAGCTAATAAATGCCTAGAGCTGGGAACCTTCCCTAAAATCTGGAAGAAAGCGACAATAGTGGTCCTGAGGAAGCCGGCAAAAGCTAACTACGATAACCCAAAGTCATATAGGCCCATTGGACTGCTACCAGTGATGGGGAAAATATTTGAGAAAATGGTCGTCGAGCGCCTGAAATGGTACCTAGTACCGAAAACATCAAAACACCAATTCGGATTCATGCCCCAACGCAGTACGGAAGACGCTCTCTACACCGCGGTTAATCATATACGCAAAAAGCTGATACAGAAAAAGATACTGACGGTGGTATCGTTGGACATAGAGGGCGCCTTCGATAGCGCATGGTGGCCCATGATTAGAGTCCGACTGGCGGAAGAGAAATGCCCTCGTAATATAAGGAAAATCATGGATAGCTACCTGATGGACAGAAAAATAAAACTCACTTATGCAGGCCAGACGGTAGAAAGAGACACGACAAAGGGGTGCGTACAGGGATCGATCGGCGGGCCCATACTATGGAACCTTTTATTGGACCCACTCCTCAGAGAGATACAAGAGACAGGAGTACACGTCCAGGCTTTCGCAGATGACATACTCCTGATATCAGAAGGGGAAACGGGGCAAGATAACCAAACAAAGATTAACAAGGTTCTGGCTCGTGGAAACGAATGGGGTTCCCAAAACAAGCTCCGGTTTGCGCCTCACAAAACAAAGGCAATGGTTGTGACGCGCAAACTAAAATACGATGACCCGATTTTGAGCATGAATGGAGAGCCAATAAAAATGGAAAAAGGTATTAAAATACTGGGAGTGGAGGTGGACTCGAGCCTTACATTTAATGCGCACGTAGACCAGGTGTGCCAAAAAGCAATAGGGATATACAAGCAATTGTGCAGAGCAGCGAAAGTAGAATGGGGACTCAATCAACAAATAAGAGCGACCATCTACACAGCAGTAGTAGAACCGATAATTATGTACGCCTCTGCAGTGTGGGCAATTGAAGTAGACAAGGCCTGTCTCCGCAAAAAACTGGAACGAGTACAAAGAAGTTTCGCTCAGAAAATATCAAGAAGTTACAAAACGGTCTCATGCGGAGCGGCCACACTCTTAGCTGGAATACTCCCTCTAGACATGCGAATAAAAGAAGCCGCCGCACTATATGAGGCCCGCACGGGGCGGAGCGTGGATTCGGATGAGGAGGAAATTGAGAGCCGCACTCCCTACCACAAACTACCCCATCCGTCGGACCGCCCAGCAATAAAGTACACCGACGCTGAAACCCCAGTGCAAACCGCGATATACACCGACGGAAGCAAAACTCCGAACGGAGTGGGCGCGGCCTGGGTATACATACGGGAAGGGGTAGAAGTCAAGAAGAAGAAAATTAAGCTAGCTTCATACTGCACGGTATATCAGGCGGAACTGGCAGCCTTACGAAGCGCCACAGAATATGCAAGAACCTTAGAGGGAGAAGAGGTGAACATATACAGTGACTCCAAGGCTTCCCTAGAGGCTATCACTCACAGCCGCTCTTGCAACCCCCAGGTCGTCAAGATCCGCCGAGCCATTGGAGAAGCGGAAAAGAGGGGCCAAAAAATAAACCTCCACTGGCTCAAGGCGCACATTGGCACGCCAGGAAATGAAAGAGCGGACGAGCTGGCGAAGGAAGCGGCTGAAAAACTCAAAATAAAACCTGAGCATGATAAACGGCCGCTCTCCGAAGTGAAACGAAAAATAAGGGAAAGAACCCTGGAAGCCTGGCAGACGCGATATACACACTCTCAGACTGGAGCAACAACAAAAGAATTCCTGCCAGACATAAAAGTGGCTTATAAAACAGTAAAGGACAAAATGTTTGATGAGCACACCGTACAGGTTATCACAGGTCATGGGGCATTCGCAGAATATCTACACAGATTCAAACTAAAAGACGACGCGACATGCCCCTGTGACTAAATTACGCCACAAACCTCTACTCATATGCTATTAGAATGCCCAATAATGGGATTATCTAAGTATGACTTCGAAATTCAAACGGGTAAAACAATGACCAGTGCAGAGATGCCGACTATCCTGAAGGACTCGAGGCTGCAATTGGAGAGATTCTGCAAAGAAATTGTCAGAAAAACTAGAAAAATGAATGGAAGCGGAAGCGGGGATCGAGATGTTGTGCGACCGACCGTAGCTCGCCCATGAATATTGTTGAAATTGAAATAAGAATGTTATTATAGTATATACACATAAAGTATGTAATGATTAAAATGTAACATAGAATAAGTATTAAGTATGTAAAAAATTGTAAATGATGAAAAAATATATGTAAAACAAACCTGACAAATCCCCCAAAGAAAGAGTTATCTGTAGTTTTACTGATAGGAGTTTCGATAAACAACGGCCCCGGCGATAAAGTAGCCGGGGGAGGTAGGCCTTACTAGGGTCAGTAAAAAAAAAAAAAACCTAACCTAACCTCGTCGAAGACGTAATATACAAGCATAGACTTATTATGTTGTGTTTGCCATTTAACGTCATCGCGTTTTACTTAACATCTAGCGCCATCTAGTATACTTGATAAAAACTAAACATACATACTGCACGACTGCTCTCTCTTTCCTATCAAAAAAAAATATATATATATATATACATGTATATATATATTTTTAATTATTATAATTTATTACATTTTAGGAAGATGTAAAATACTTATTTTAACAAAATGTAAATTTTGATTACAATACAATAAAATTTGTATAATCTTCACCTATAGATATTCCATAAGTACCTTGGGAATATAGAGATAGAAAGAATAAAATTAAAATTAACACTTAGGAATTTATAAATGTAGGAAATAATTAAAAGATTGAAATTATACTTAATTCATACTTGAACAAGCAGCAACAATGAAGAATTGTATATTTGATCGATTTTTATAAATCAGACTATCTATTGGTAAAAACTGTTTTAAAAACCATTTATTAGTTTTTGTGTAAATGCCGTTTATAAAGACGCTGAAGATTTACTGCGACCTCTTGAACGACTTATATTTTAGTCAATTGACGTTATCCATGAAGAATTATATATTTAAACGGTAAACCTTTCTTGTGAATAATTCTATCCATTGGTGAAATTTTCATTAAAATCTATTTTGTAGTTTTTGAGTAAATGCCGTTTATGTACGCATAAAGATTTTTTAAGTCCTCTTCAACGGCTAATATTTCTGCCATTAACGTAAAACCATGTAGAATGATAATTATATTTAAACCTTCCTTGTAAATCACACTATCTATTGGTGCAAACAATATCAAAATTAATTTAGTAGTTTTTGACTAAATGCCGTTTATAAAGACGCTGAAGATTTACTGCGACCTCTTCAACGGCTTATATTTTAGTCAATTAACGTAAAACCATGGAGAATCATATATATGTAAACCTTTCTTATGAATCACACTATCTATTGGTGCAAACTGTATTAAAATCCATTCTGTAGTTTTTGTAGATTGCAACCAAATTTCATTGTGATAGGTAGCTACTCGGCACACATTGGGTATAGTTGGAATTTATTGAAATACGATACGTATAGTCATCTCAAAAATAAACAATCGTATCCTATTAATCTGAGTTTATTATCAGTGATAATATACATATACGGATAGTGTTACGGGCAACGAACAATATAGTTTAGAAAGCTGGTAAACGAAGCCTGCAGCCAGATGTTAGTCCAGGAAACTATCGGTGTGTGAGCAGGTAGCGGAAGGGTCGGTCAGTCCCTTTACCAGCGTGTAGTTTTAGGCCTTAGTTTAAGATATTAACTGTATTCTTTAGTAGATAGATGTACTACGCAGCCGTCCCGGACGGACGTTAGTCATGAGCTTGCTTCGTGATGTAATTTTGTTTGACCACTAACGTTCGACCAATACACGGAACAATTATACTCCACTTCAAGTTTCATTTCGAGAGTACGGCGGTGGTTCACCGTTCATATGGAGCCATCGTACGCTTATAGGCTATTTTACCTCAATTTTTGTTTTTAGTTATTTATATATTCCTTGTATTTTTACTAAAATATGCATATTGCATATAAACTCCTGCATTATAAACCATAACGTTTTTCTACGTGATATATTTCAAAACTTTAAGAATTAATTCTCATTATCTCGAAATGGGTATTTTGGACATAATGAGTTTTCGCCCCACGGGGATGATATACATAATATGTCATAATCTATAGAGATAAGAGTAGTTTTATTATTTAAATTAGAATACCTACGATAGGGATACGTACGGAACATTGAAAAAAAAACTAAACAATTTTATTCGTTGCACCTAAATACAATTTATTTAATTCACACCAAGCAAGTTTCCCTTGCCATGGAAACTCGTATAGTGGCGGTCGTGCGGGCAACTCGCTAGCGCCGAGGCGGCCTGCTCCGGTGTGAGGTCGCGCTGCGTTTGCGCCAGGAGCTCGTAACCCACCATGAACTTGCGCACGGTGGCAGATCGCAGCAAAGGGGGTAAGTACACGGCGTGTACGAGCCAGTGGGGGCTGTCACCGTCTTTCGACGCCGCACCCGTCGGCGCTCCTGTCGAGTCATATTACGTCTTACGTCACAAATATTACAGCACATAATATTTTAACTTAACAATACCGACCGTGCCATCCCATACTGTAAGGAAAGCTGCAACGGAACAAGTTATCGTACTTGGTGTTAAGATGCTTCATTATTTCGGCTAGGGCAAGTTTTTGGTTCGGTGTGAGGTCAGTGAGTCGTTGCGGATGGCCGTCGAGAGGAAGCAGCAGAGTCTCGTAAGGCCAAGCCGCCCAATATGGGACCACGACCACCCATTCTGAGTTTTGTAACACTATACGCTCCTGAAATATTCAAAAAAGGGTGGAAATTAAATTTATACTGAATTAAACATTACATCTCACTAATAATAATTACAATTTTACCTTCTTAATTAATTCTTGTTCAACATAGTCGACGAGCATTGCTCTACCATACTTCTCAAAATATTGTTTTTGCGACCTAAAAGTGAATTATCATAAAAATTTTGTTTTTACATTAACGGACATTTCGGACAGTCGGACAAGAACGCGTCCCACGTGCCTTTATCTATATATTGATATACCTGTCTTTCACTGCGGGCTCATTGGGAAGGAAGGATGAAGCCCATATCTGGCAGTGTGGGTGAGGGTTGGAACATCCCATGACCGCGCCTTTGTTCTCGAATATTTGCACCCACCGGTAACGACCGCCGAGGTCACGTAGCTGTGCTACCCACCTCAGAGAAATGAAGAAAAATATAGATACAAAAACACCTAATTTGTTAGTAGTAGTAAGTAGGGAAGTTAATTCATATTTCAGTGTCTATTTGGATAGCTGTAGCGATGTTTATACATGCCGGTATTGTCAACACCATTTCTATGTTTAAAGGTGTCAATGAAGCTCTTCAACAGTACGAAGCAAAATCGGATAATAAATAGGTAAATTATATGGAATTATATTGAGGGTAGACCGGAAACAACTCGTCGGTCCCAATTTCTTTGTATTTTAAAATCATACAAGTACTAATATCGTTCCAAAAAGAACAAAAAGTGGTTAATATTACAAGATAAAAAAGTGTAAATGTTATTCCGCCCAGAAACATTTAAAGCATTAGTATTTCCCAAAATCACAACGCTTTACCGAGTACGTTTGTAGGTAATTTGTGTTGAAAAATACCCTAAGTCAGAAGCAGTCTCAACAATCAACAAGAACAACACTAAGTGAAATAGTGCGAAGTAAACTAATTTGTGCAAGAAGTAACGGTAAGTGTCTTGGTATAACTCTGACTCATTTGTTTCGGTGACGCATGTAACCTGAACAAGATTTTCAACCAAATACAGTACAGACGTTTGGTCAATCGGTTAAGTTCCGCCTCACTCATAGGAAACGAGTTCAAACCTCAGTAGAGAACAATATAATTGATTTTTTAAAAATTTATAAAAACTAAATCAATATTCAATTTATCATTTTAAATAAGATAATCACATAGGGACACGTACTTCATAATAAAAACATTTGTCAATAGAGGGCAGTGTCCGCAAGATTGTTTTCGTAAATGCGAAAATAAGCATACCAGAGTCAAAATAAATATAACATAGAAACTAGTGTTGCCAACTAAAAATCATTTCACACACACGTACTACGCTAACTCACAGCCATGGAGAAACAGCTGGCACGTCTATAGAAAAAATAATGGAAATTACGAGAACTGAATAAAAACAAAAAGGATACTAGGGACGAATTTCGTGAGCAAACAACTGCCCTCACCAAAAGCCTTACCCAAAGTATGGCTCGACAATAGAAGAAAAACTGAAACCTTGTAGAAGAGAATAAAATACTTCAAAACATTGGCAATTATGAAGAATAAGGTGAAAATCTGAAAAATCAGAAAAAATAATTTATACTCACGAGTAGAGGAAAACGAAGCAATAATGCAGAACTCCTACACTTCCTGAAGTCCTTAATGAGGTGGGTAAAGATTGCGAGTTGGACAACTTTGATAAAGGGAAATAAGTGAACTAGACTTGGCCCTAAGTCGACCAGAAACGAGGCCTATTCTCATAAGTTTACTCTAGCATGGAGAAAAATAGAAATCTTAAAAAACAACAAAAGATTCCTGCAAACATTTACGTGTCTGAAGACTACCCCAAAGAAGTACTGCAGAAAAGAAAAGAATTAAAGTCCCTACAACAAGAAGAAAGAAAGAAAGGAATCTGCCCTCATCCGATATGACCGACTCATAATAAAGGAAACAAACTCAACCAAGGCAATTGAGAAAAGGAAGCGCTCACCATCTAAAACACCAACGCAATCTGACTGCCATGAAGGTACAAGGCAGACGGTGCCAAAGAAAATATTGTCACCAATGCATTTGAAAAAATGACACGCCACAGAACAAATTCTATTTCTGAAACATCTAACCAATAACAATTAGTACACAGCGGTCCCCGGAATCAAAACAAAAATAAAACCAAAGAACAAATACAAACAACCAACAAAAAATACCTTTCCCCAGCGAAGCCTCCGTGGGGAAACACGACCGCAACCCTCCAGCTAACCCTCGATCTCTAAAACTCACATTGAAACAAACGAACCAGCCAAAACCTAACCTACCAAATCCAAACCCACCAAAACCCAACCTACCAAAGTCTAATGAGCCAAAGCAACGAAGTCAAAAATAAACACCAATATTTATATCGGCACCTCAACGTACTAACACTAAGAACATGCGATCGACTTATGGAACTGGAAGAGGCCTCAAGAACATTAAATGGAAATTCTAGGCCTTAGCGAAGTCAGAAGACTAGGAACAGAAATCACTGAACATGACGACTACATTCTATACTATTGGAGAGACAAAAGGACACTACGGAGTAGGCTTCATGGTCAGAAAGGAACTCAAGAACACATACTAGAATTAAGGCATCTAGAAAGAATAGCAATCCTAAAAATAAAGATAAAGGCTACAGAGAACACTGACCTTGATACAAGTGTATGCACCAACAGAACAAGCAGAAGAAGCCACAAAAGACTCATTCTATCATCACTATCCAAACAATAGATGTAACAGAAAAAAACTTAATAATTATGGGAGACTTTAATGGGAAAATTGGCAAGCAAAGATCAGGAGAAGAAAATATCATCGGCGAATACACCATGGAAAGAGAAATAATAACGAGAACGACTAGTAAATCTGAGTCAGAAAACAACCTGGCAATCCTCAACACATTCTTTAAGAAAAAACCTAGCAAAAAATGGACCTGGAAGTCACCAGACGGTAGCTACCATAACGAAATCGATTTCATAACAAGCAATCAACCCAAAGCTTTCAAAGACGTAAAGGTAATCAACCAGTTCAACTTCTACACCAACCACAGAATGGTCAGAGCAACCTTACACTCCAAAACCAGGTTAAATCTAGGCAACGCTACAAACAAGTGCTACCTTCTGAGGAATACACCCTTACTACCAAATTAGACGCAAACCATCTGCTAGAATCGCCGAACGCAATGCAGGAAAGATACAATAAAGAAATAAACAGAATGTATCAAGCTAAAAACCAAAACAACAGACGAAGGAAATATTAAGCACACAGACCAAACAACTAATTTCGGAAAGAAAAGAATTATTCAAGAACAAAAAAGGATAAAGATATATTAAAAGAAATAACAAGGATCAGCAAAGAAATTAACAAGAGTATAAAAAAGGATAAAGCAAAAAAACAATGGACTGCATAATAAATCATATTACTAAAACAGGAGGAATAAGGAAAGCCCTAAAAGAACTACAACCACCTAAACAATGGATACCAAGACTCAAAAAACAGGACAAAAACTTAGTTACAAATAGAAAAACAATACTAGATACTGCAACATCCTTCTTTAAAGAACTGTACTATGTAACAACAATTCCGAAACATATGCCAACCCTGACCCAGAAACGAAGAACCTATCCACCTGTTTTAGAAAGGGAAGTCGAATATGCAATCCTGACACAGAAAAATGAAAAATCCCTGGCCCCGACAACAACTGAGACAATCAAAATTCACTTCCGGACACACTAACAACATTAACAAATCTATTCAATGAAATATTGGATACTGAATACATACCTACACAATGGACACAAAAGCACAATAATCCTAATCCACAAGAAAGGAGACAAAGAAGACCTTAGCAACTATCGTCCTATCAGTCTTATGTCCAACGTGTATAAAGTCTTTGCAAAAATCATTCTCAACCGCATACCAAACAACTTGACGAACAACAACCTATCGAGCAAGCCGGTTTCGGTCTGATTCTCCACAATAGACCACATGACACCTTGAAGCAAATTGTCGAAAAGTGCCAGGAATATGGATATCCCCTGTATCTGCTTTGTCGACTACAGCAAAGCTTTCGATTTTTGAGCACCCATATTTGGAGAGCCTAAAAACCAAGGCATTGAAGGGAAATACATTAAACTCATGGAAATGTCTAAGCAGTGCTCGGCCAGGGTGAAGCTGAGATGCTGGTGAATCATTTCCACTCAAGGAGTAGACAGGGAGACCCTCTTTCGCCTAAGCTCTTTACTAGTTGTTGGAAGAAGTCTTCAGAAACCTACACTGGAAGATTGCGGTATCAACATAGATGGAGAAAGGATCAACCATTTGAGATTTGCAGATACATTGTCTCATAACTGACAACCTGAGAACACTACAAACTATATCGAAGAACTGGCAACCAAAAGCAAAGAAGTGGTTTAACAATGAACAAATTAAAAACAAAAGCCATGACAAACAGAACACCAGATACTATTACCTAGAGAACGAAAACCTAGAATATGTGACAACCTACATATACTTGGGACAACTCATCTCCATGACAGAACAAGCCCATCAGGAAATAGAGAGAAGAACCTCAAATCCTGGAAAAGATTCTGTCATTAAAACACATCCTAAAGAATAAAGAGTACCCACTTAGGATCAAAAGGAGCACTTCAACACCTGTATCTTACCTATCCTAACGTACGGCTGCGAAACTTGACCACTAAAAGTCACAAGTCAAAAGCTTGTGACTTGCCAGAGAAGTATGGAAAGGAGCATACTAGGTTACACACGGAATGATAGGAAAAGAGCTGTAGATCTCCGAAGGATCACCAACTGGAAGATGAATGACCAGAGCCAAAGGCTTATGGAGATGGACAGGACACCTCTAGAGGCCAGAGAGCAAATGGTCGAAAAAAGTCACCCATGGACACCTCGCTACAACACCAAGCGAAAGAGAGGAAGACCATGTGCCCGTGGCTGACGACTTTAAAAAGCCACTGGTCCTCTGTGGCAAAGACTTGCCAGAGATAGGAAGGAATGGAAAAGTTGAGGAGGCCTTTGTGCCACAAAGGCAAGCTAACAAGAGGACAGCTTCTGTTAAACTTTTTCTTTTTTTATAACTAATTTATATTTTGTTCTCTTGTATTAGTTAAAATAAAGGCTTTGAAATTGAAATTGAAATTGAATTATATGGATGTCATCATGAAGTTACGAAGTACGTTTGTTAACTTTATATCCATGAAAATAAAACTACTCTCAATTAAACATTGTACTATAGGTACCTATAGTGTTGTCATATACATAGTATATTTCGTTGTGTCGCCGCTAATATCTGATAGTGCAAGGTCAATGAGATATCTAATGAGAGGTAATGGATTTTTAGGGTAAGACAGATTATTATAATAATACCCGTAGAATTCAATATTTTCAAATTTTCAGTTAGTTTTAAATGTTGTATTTCTATAAAATACGAGTAGACTTCCTTACTGACTTATAAATAAGACAACTTACTCTTCAATAACGGCAAGTATCTCTTGTACTGACATCAATGAGATAGTCATTGCTGAGTCTGGATGGAAACACATTACCCTGGAATAAATATACATTTATGAAACTTCTAAAATGTAAGTAAAAGATGACGTTTTAAGAAATTTTCCTACTACCATTCGACAAACTAAGAGCTTGATTCTACTAAGCACAATTTATAACCGACCAAGTAGATTAGTAATTTTTGTATATTAAAACCGGAAAAGAAAGTATATATTTATATACCTGCATGTCCCTTTGGCCTGCGTAGAGATGAAGAGTGGGTGATCGGGTGACGGTGGCTCGGGAACCGTCTCTAGTAATGCCGGGAAATCATTCGGAAACACGTAAGTAGAAGTATAATTTGGATTTCTCTGAAATGTTATGCGAGACTTCGTTGAAAAAACTACCTTTTAATGTTATAAATATCTGAAATTTTTATAACTATGGTCTGACCTGTCCATTGGCCCTGGTGGCTCCTGCTTTTAAAGGATTGTCAGGATCAGGATCTGATTGGTGTTCAGGAGGAGGATCGGTTTGTCCGCTCCAAGGCCTCTTGCAACGATGCGGAGACACCAGTATCCACTCATCTTTTAGAGGATTGTAGCGGACATGTTGATGATCTAAAATGTGTGAGTGTGAATAACGTTGAATATTGAATCTTGACTATCGCACAGGTTAACAGGAAAGTCGTAACAAGTAAAAAGGTTAATTAAAAGAAGAGAGACAGAATGGACATCTATGACGACGAAATGTTATCAAGTGTTATTATGTTCAAAAAATAGCGAGTCCTGTGTCATGTTAACTATTCAGACCGTCGTGAATTAGAATAGATTCTGATCTATTGACAACGTTAAATTTCTGACTGGCACGTGGACTATAACCCATTTGAGTAAAAATAAATATTTTTTTTAAGATTAGCTCAGTTTTGGCTAAAACACACAGCGCCTTCTAAAATATAATAGCAACAATGTTAAATGTGTACTGCCAAGATAAAATAGATTCTATTGTGAAATACAGCCCAATATATTTTTGAGTTTATTGCTTACGAACATACAAAAATATAAATCTTTATTTATTAAATTAGTATACATAAAGATATGTTTTATATTTCACGATTACGTTATAGAACATGGCAAAAATGGGTACTAAAACTCTATTCTTCTTTTGTACTTTATGATAATATTATGTTCGTGTTAATCAAAATCTGGTGGCAAGGTCGACCAGAAGTTAATATACAGTTCGAGTTCAGTTCAGGAGACACGCAGTTGTTTTATATACAATAATCATACAACTTCAATAATGAATATTTTTTTCTATAGTAATACGTACCTATTAGTAAAAAGTGGTCGTATATAATTTGTGAGGCAGTTTTCCCATAAATTAATTGAGTAAATGTAAACTAATTTAAAAAGACGACATTTTATCATTTTGCTGAACTTTGTGATCATAACAAAGCAAGCCAAGTCGGCTAGTTCCGCTTCAGATATTTAATTATATGGAGGCATTTAATGAAGTATTAAGTACTTTGTAGCCATAACTAAAAGTAACCTTGTTGTATTTTTGTTTGTTATTACAAACAAACCGATAATATCTTATCGGTCCACAATTCAAATTTTATTTGCAGTTTCTCGATCTACGTTGTTTAAGATTTAGCAGAAGCAAAAACTACATATCTATTAATATATTATACCAGATGAAATGAGTGTTAAGTCTGTTAAAATATGTTCGAATTATAATAATATTTTTAGACTAAATTATCATATGTTGTACATACCGGAAGCGTCGAATTGCATTTTAAGTTCGTTATAGCTTCACCGTTCAGTGCTAAAAGAAAACTGAGTTATATTAGGTTAACACTTGACAGCGTAGTCAATTCAGATAACAGCAATCAGGAATTAAGGTTCCACAGACGTGAGAGATAACGGGCTAACGTATCGTGTGGCGTATATTTGAATCGGCTCTCGAGTGAGCCAAAAGATTGGACTATTTAAAACTTTTAGATAACGAGATCAGAAAAGTTATCTCATATATATACCTAACCCAACCGATCTCACGAAACTAAAATGAAACAACACATACAACTCAGTCATTTATTATCAGAATTTTAAATACAAATTATCACTTATACACAGATCACAATCGTCATAGTAATATTTCCGAAGCCCGAGGAGATGAATACTTAAAGTTAATATTTACAGCGACGCTAACGTCATCGCACAGTCGGCGCAGAGTCGGGCCGTCGGAGATTATATGAAATCGCTCAGAGCGCCATCTTGCGGCCCTCGATGGAGATCTCGACGGCGCGCTTGGAGCCGCCTCGCAGACGCTTCTGGTCCATGAACTTCTTCATCTGCTTCTCGTAGCGCGTCATCTTCTTCTTGGAGAGGCGAGACATGTCGGCCTCGCAGGTGGACTTGGGGCGCACCACGTAGTCTTTGTTGGAGGGCAGCGGCACCCGCGCGCGCGCCACCCAGCCCGCCTCCCCCGGCCGCACGGAGCGCTCCGCCTCGTCCAGCGTCCGAGCGCGCTTGTCGGGCGGCCCCGCCTCGTCGCGGCGCCGGGACCCCGCCATGGCCTCGTCACGCGCCTGCCGCTCCTCGCGAGTCATCGCCTTGAAGTCGGTCGAGAGGTTGAAGATCGGCCGCGCCCACTCCGAGATGAGCCTCCCGGCGCGCTCCTTGTTCGCCTTGGTCTCCTTCGGGTGCTTGTACAGGTACATCACCGCCTTGCCGACGCCCGACTGCTTCAGCAGCGACTTGTCGATCGGCGGGAAGTCCGCCAGCAGCTTGAGCAGCGAGTCGCGGATGAGCAGGCACGGCAGCGCGCGATTCGGCATAGGCGCGAGCCACGAGCAGAGCACGTTGAGCACGTTGTGCTCGAGGAACGCGAGTTGCAGGTCCCGCTTGATGAGCTGCGAGAGCGCCTCCTTCAGCATGGACACCTTTCGCACGGCGGGCAGGTTGCGCTTGTTGAGCTCGCGGTCCTCGTCGGCGGCGGCGCGCATGCGCTGCAGCAGCGCCGCGATGAGGTCGTCGTTGTCGTTGATGATGTCGATGTCGCGCCGGCGCCGGCGTCCGCGTCGCTCCTCGCGCTTGCGCGCCAGCATCATCTCGAAGTCCGACATGCCCCCGGTGGCCTCCAGACTCGTGCCGCCGGCGGGTACGTCGTCGTCGGAGGAGTCGTCGGGCGCCACGACGGCGGGAACCGCGGGCCCCTCGCCTCCCTCGGCCGGAGGCGCCTCGGCCCCGGCGCTCCCCTCGCCGCCTTCGCCCTCGTCGTCCGACTGCAGCCGCACGGTGCGCCGCTTGCCCTCTCTTCTCGAAGGGGACTCGGAGCCAGAGCGAGATCCAGACCTCGAGCGGGAACGAGACCTGACGAAAATTAATTAATTTGATTCGATGCGATGCGATTTTCTGGTGAGTTTTATGTGTGAATATTACGAATCATTGAAATTAATAGTAGACTTTACCCCCCCATTCGGTTACCCCACATCTCATTTATTTCATTAAACCAATGTGTGACATTACCTGGATACTGATTTAGCTGAACCGGATCGCGACCGAGACTTGGAGCGAGATCTCGAACGTGACTTGGATCGGGATTTGGAGCGAGATCCTGAACGAGAGCGCGATACCGACTTTGAGCCGGACCTCGATCGCGATTTCGAACGAGACCTGGATCTAGACTTGGAACGGGAACCGGATTTCGATCTGGCTCTGGATCTGCGCGACCCGGATCTAGATCGTGATTTAGACTTGCGCGATATCGATCGTGACCCAGATCGCGACTTAGATCTCCGCGAGCCGGATCTCGAACGAGACTTTCTGGACCCAGATCTGGAACGAGACTTTCTGGACCCAGATCTGGAACGAGACTTTCTAGATCCAGATCTGGAACGAGACTTTCTAGATCCAGATCTGGAGCGAGACTTAGATTTATTGGAACCTGATCGGGAGCGAGAAATAGACTTATGGGATCTGGATCTCGAGCGAGATTTACGCTTGCAAGAGCCGGATCTCGACCTCCGCGTTCTATCACCAGCTGCAAAACAAAGAGAGATCGTTCATCTTGGATTGGTTCATCTCACCAAAATTAAAAGGCATATAATATAATTTGGCAGTTGGGATTACATAGTAGAATGCTCACCAGCAGATTCCGATTTTAACTTTGATGCAGAACGTGAGCGAGACCGGGATCGGCGTGTACCTACAAAAGACAAAAAAATTTACGTTATTTCAAGACGTCATGACGCCGGCAACCTTTTTGGGTGTATTTTGTCCACTTACTGGGCGAAACAGGTGAAGTTGGCGCTGCATCTCCGTCCACCCTCATGAGGTCCGCCGACTTGCTTCGTGATCGCGACTTCCGAGAGCCACTTCGGGACCTACTCTTTGACTTCCGCGACCTACTGTTAGAGCGGGATTTAGCCGGAGACACACTCCGGGACCGCATTGATCCGTTTCTTGATTTCGGGCTCTTTTTCGATGCTGGCGATGTACTCCTGGAGCGATTTTTGGATGCGGGAGACCCGCTTTTAGACTTGGCTACGCTTTCGCGGCGCGAGCGAGACCCTGATCCGTGGGACTTTGGAGAACCACTTCTTGATCTGGGAGATTTTGGCGAGCCGCTATGGGATCTGTTAGATCTCACTGAACCACTTCTAGAGCGGGCCGATTTAGGCGAAACAGAGCGCGAAGACCCATGGGATGATGAATTAGAATTAGATCTTGACTTTGAGTTTGGTGATCCATCGTGGGACATTTTAGACTCAGCCTGAAATATTACAGGTAAATAAATCACTAAACATAGAAAGTTACACATAAAGGTTATGTTTTGGATAAGTAAGTTTTTCTAAGAGCCTTTATAATAAAATACTTACTGATTTACTCCGGGATCTTGATTTCCTTCCATCTAAAACAAAGAATTTAATTTTCATATTATTTACTAACTTATTTTATTAGGTAAATAAATTAGGGTAAGATCTTGGGTATGAATCCTGGTGTTCAGATTTCATCTGAACATTGACTTTAACATTTAAGATAATGTCTTTGAATATTAAATTAGATTTGAATATTGCTCTGTCTTATTCAATTCTCGCTTCCTCTGAAAGTGGCGAAGACTACTTCAAGCCCTTAATTATCGTCGTGAGCTTGCCCGATAACTTTGAGATAATCCCACCACAAGGTTCGGGACCTTTGCTCCTACCCATAGGCTCCGTCTGTTACCTTAGGTTTCTTGGGTGCAGATATCCCGTACTTAATTATATATTCACTATTTATGTGTTAGGGAACGTCTGTAGGGCTTAGGGATCCGTAAGGTTGTTAGGTTCTTACATCTCACCCTCTCATATATTTAGTTATCTAGTGCAGCTTGCTCATACATACATTACCTATACTATACAGATACTCCTGACATTCAATACATATAAAGTTTAAAGACACTTTTCACAGCCCACTAGCTAGCAAGCTGTACACCTAGTATAAGGGTTGGTTGAAGACTTACTGGGTTACTTTGGTTGAAGGCATAGATCATTTCAAAGTAGTAACCCAGCTACTACCAAATTATATAAATTGAAAAAATCACAACACATATAAAATACAACAGCTTCAAAAACTGTGTCACTTGCCAGTCCTCAACTATTATATGCGATTGATTTGAGAGCTGGTAACTGTCAGTTCTCAAATCAATCTAAAATAAATCCTTAATGTTAATATAAATCCCGTTTTCAACTTTCATAAGTAATATAATTTTGACTTTATTTTAAATGACAAAGATACAATTGAGTATATCTTTTAAAATTATTTCAAATAAAAAACATTTAATTGGGTAATGCTAGGTGTAAACAGGGAATGTCTGTAAAACAACACAACAAAATGTGTGATTATCGGTTGCTTCACTGATAACTAGCAATAGGTTATAAAAACACTTACCAGTATCCACATCCATTTCGCGGTGTTAATAGGTAATATTTTGTAATAACTTAACTAAAAGTTATAAAACCACACCGTCAGCTTAAATTAAGTAGTATTTAAAGAATCATATTTAGACAAATCAAAGGAAAATCAGAAACGCAGTAATACTAAATCTCGTCCCGTTATTCGTATACAATTTTGAGTCTTGCCTGCTGCCAAATGATACTCGTTTCACTGCCAATTATTACACTTTTATTGGTTGAAAAGCCCTTAATCTTTTATCTTAATCTTAAATATAAAACGCCTAATGGCTTATGGCATAAGCTATATTTAAATTTTCATTATTAATTATTAAACTTCAACGCTGAACACTGAAGTCAGAATGGGTCTTCTACGGTCTACCCATGTTCTGTGGCCTGTGCCTCTGAACTGATAATCAATTCTTCTCAAATGGCAATTTGACAATACTAAATTAAATTTTTATGTTGTCTGTGGCATAATTCTTTACCTGTGGCCTGCTATTTAAGCCACATAGCGACAGGCGTCAAAGTCACTTCACAAAATAAAGTGTACACCAGGCCTTATGTTTTCTTGCCAAGAACTATTCAATAAAAATATTTCACTTAATATTTTTGTTTTATATTCGTAATCTAAATACCTACCCTACATCTGATATTCAACAACAATTAAAAACGTTTTGATGTCATTTAATGATTTTTATCTATCACCAATAAACGATCAATAATTAAAAATAATTCACTTTTATCGTTAAAGAACGTCGATACTACCCCGAGAAAAACCTTTTTTATCTCATTTGTAACTTTTTAAATTTTTAAACATGTATGTATAGCCTTCCAAAATGAAGGTTCACCATATTCCTTCATTTGCTATATTAGCGCGGTTTGTATCCACTATCCTAGTTCTTGTTTAGGCATATAACATATCTAATTGTTGGAAGGGCTTCTCCGTATTTTTTTTGAAACCCTCACACGTTGTTAACAACTATTTTTATCTTACAATTTTTGATACTGATTAAAATATGTTGTTTTCGTAGAGTTGTTGACTATAGGCCTCTTGGATAACGATAGTGGCGCGGCGTTGTGGCAGATTCAGGCAACACGCGGGCGTCTGAGTGCGATCAGCTGTACGGTTTACGTTATTCGATCAGTTGAAAACTTTAAAAAGTGCTCTCAAAAACGAAAAAAAATGGGTGGTACGTTGTGTTATAGGGTGTAAAAATTCCCAATCTCGGAACCGTGGCCTTAGCTAGAAATAATCTTTATTTCTTCTCTCACATTTCCAAACAAGGTTATTATGATAAAACTAAGATGATAACATTTGTATGTGAGAGACTGGTCTCTGTAACAGAAGACCTGTGTGACAGATAGCCAGCCTCTCCACCGCCGGACCGGAACACATACAATCAGGTCATTACCTACTCTGGTCTGTTGTATTACTTTTTCAAGGATGATTCGTTCTCCACCATCATGGATTTCGAAGACTTTTCTTTTTTTTATATATAACAGGGGGGCAAACGGGACGTACGCATGCGGGACGTCCAAAAAGGGCAGTCATCACGGCCCATAGACACCCATTTTTAGTGGGTGCGATGCCGGCTTTTGAGGGAGGAGTATACTCGTTTTTTGAACATTTGGAGGTCGTATCTCTGAGGGAAGACCCCCACCGGGAGTCGATTTCACAGTTCGCTAGTTCGCAAAAGAAAATGCCTAGTGAAACGGACTGTGGAAGACCTCCGGCCATCAAGATGATGTTGGTGAAATTTAGAACTCATACGGCTCGTACGGTGTTGAAAAGAGGCAGGAGGAATCAACCCAAACAATTCTTCAGAACACTCACCGTAGTATACTTTATACAAAACGCAAAGAGACACAATGTCTCTGCGTACAGAGAGACAATCAAGCCGATCAGTAAGACATTGGAGATTGACAAGCCCTTCGCTGAATTTGGTCAAAAGGAAAAAGCTGGGATTTGGGATTTGCCCAGAGATGTGAGCAGTATTCCATATGAGGTCGTTCTTGAGTCTTGTAGACCTGCATACGTTGTACCTTAGTGAAATATTGCTTAGCCCTACCCAGCTTTTTGGAAGCCAGTTTGGCTTTTTCTTCCAGGTGACTGTGGAATTGGACGTCTTTCGAAATGCCAACCTCCTTCCTGTATGTGACGTACTAAGGAGAGCGCCTTCAAATTGAGGAGACACGACAAAAGGATCTTTCTTGGCAGAAAACGAACAAACCTGTCTTTGTAGGATTAAACTTAACAAGGTTGTTACTACCCCACACAGAAACTTTCTAAAGAATCTATTTAATTTCGAGAACAAGTATGTTACGGCTCTCATCGACTTCAGACCGAGACATGTTCGGATGGCCGGAATATAATGTGTCGATGGTGCTGTCGTCTGCATAGCAATGGATGTTGTCGATATTCAACAGGTCATTGATATGCAGAACGAACAGGGTCGGCGACACAGCCTTGTGGAACGCCTGCATTGATGGGATAGGATTGGAGCACGCTCCGTCAACTAGGACTTTTATGCTACGTCCTACTAGAAAATTTGCCAGCCATCGGGCAAACCGTATGACGGTAGTTTCGAAACAAGCACCCTATGCCAAACCCTATCAAAGGCCTTAGCTATATCCAAGCTAGCGGCCAATGCCTCTCCCTTACCACAGCTTCAGCCCACCTATGAGTCAGATAGGCAAGAAGATCACCAGCCGAGTGGCCACGGCGAAAGCCATACTGACGATCACTAATTAGCTGGTACTCCTCCAGATATCGCAAGAACTGCCTATTGATGATAGATTCCATTATTTGGAAAATAAAGAAATGATTGCGATAGGTCTGTAACTGGATGGGAACAATTCCAAAAGCAGTCTCCTTTTTTGGGAATGGGATGAACATGGGCAGTCTTCCATGAGCTTGGAACTACGCCCAAGGAGTACGATAGTCGAAAGAGCCGTGTAAGCACCGGAGTCAACTCAGAAGCACAAGTCTTAAGAACGATCGAGGGAAGGCCGTCAGGACCACTCGACTTTTGGGTATCAAGGGAGATTAAGGCTAGTTAATAGATGATATTAAGATAGTAGAGAGAGTAGAGATATTAGATGATAAGAGAGAGCAAAGGAGCTCTGCTTTCTCTTTCGCCGAGTGAGCCAACGAGTCATCCTTCGTTCGCAAGGATGGTAAGGAGGGCTGACAAAAGTTTCCTTGAGTTGCTTTCGCCAATGACTAAAAGGCTCATGTTCCGATTTTGCTTTAAAAATTTCTCGTTTAAGGGTAGCCGCGTTAAATTTCTTTTTACGGAGAGCTACATCGGGATCCTTTATAGCCATTGCGTGAGCCCAGATTTTATAAAGCTCTAGCTTAAGACGGGAAGCCTCTTTGCAAGAATGGCCAAACCATGGCCGAGATTTACCACGAATTGGAACCACAGAGTTCCATTGCTTGTAGCACCACATCGGCGACAGACTCAGTGCTGGCGTCAGGATCACTACCCTTAAAGCAGACTTGCGACCATGGGTATGCCGCAAAGAAATGACGCATGTCATCCCAATTGGCCGAATGCCAGACGGCATTCCGAAAACTGCGGGCGGGTTCGACGCCTAATTGGCACCACGGTACGCACCAAGCAGTGGTCGGAGGACCCAAGTGGGGCATCCACAGTAACCTCATAGAAGTCTGGGTGAGAAGTCAACATAAGATCTAATAATGAAGGCTGATGGTCAGCTCGGTCTGGTATTCGCGTAGGCGTTGTGACCAGTTGAGTTAAACCATATGCAAGAGCGAAACCATGGAAGCCCCTTCCCGAATAGTCGGTCGTAAGAGAATTCAACCACTCAGAATGATGGGCATTGAAATCACCCAGTATAATGACTTCAGCAGGCGACAGAGACAGAAGGGAATCAAGTGCAGTTTGGACATGTTCTATAAGTCGATCGACTTCGGTGTTGCTGCTGTGTGACCTGTAAAGTCAGCAGTATATGCGGGGATGTTCAGCACATTCTACGCGTACCCACAAGGTAGAATGATTGGATTCTTCCAAACGTAAGAGGCGAAGGAAATTTATATCCTCACGAATGTAAACGCATACACCGTCTTGTGGTTTAAAATTATGCTCAAGACAATAGCCTGGATAGTGCAAATGTTCAACAGACGAGGGAAGTATCTTGGTCTCCGTTAGAAACAATAGGCTGGCTTAGCCGTAAAATGGACGGGACTTAAATTAGAGTGAAGCCCCCTAATATTAGTAAAGTCTATGTTAAATTGTATTGCCGTGAGTTTATTTCTAGATTTGCCTCTGCAGTTGAGTGGTATTTTGTCCCCCCCCCAGAATACGCGGGAAAGCCTGAGTGAGCACACCCAGGGACGGATTCTCCTGTACCAGAAGTGTAGGTACCCTCCTGGCAGTGGCGTAGCTACCTAGGGACTAGGCGGGGCAGTGCCCCGGGGCCCTCAAGCTCAGGGGGCCCTCGAATCCTCACCAGAAATCTCGATCGTTCTGAACTTTTGGAAATTTCTCCCATTTTCAAAATAAATATGACAGGTGGCAGCCCCACTTTAATCAAGACATTAATTTGAGAGAAATTCAAAAGTTATACCTAGGGAATTCCCCTAAATTCTTTCTTTTCTTCATTTGTAGGTTGGCAGTGTTGAGTGTTGACAATTTGACGGATAGTTTATATAATAAACCCTTGAATCTTCTGTATTTCAATTCGCCAAACCTACACCAAGTATTAATTGTAATTTATGTTGTTACTGTTTAATATTTTTTTTACCTGCCCTGCACATAAAAGACCTTAAGTAGCTTAGTATATTTCATATTTTTATTTGATAAAACCTAATCAGATTACATAGCAGTGGGGCCCCATTTTTTAATTTGCCTCAGGGCCCTTGGTCACCTAGCTACGCCACTGCCTCCTGGGGTAAAAATGTTCTATTAAATAACGCTGCCATGATTCGGAGAGGAAGGGGATGAGCTTCCGGGAGTCCCACAATATTAAACGAAACGCGAAACACGGTCTGCGGGGGGAAAGTGAAGGGGGGGGGGGGGGGGGGAAAAGGGGGGGGGGGGGGGGGGGGGGAAAAAAAAAAAAAAAAGAAAAAAAAAAAGGGGGGGGGGGGGGGGGGGGGGGGGAAAAAAAAAAAGGGGGGGGGGGGGGGGGGGGGGGGGGGGAAAAAAAAAAAAAAAAAAAAAAAAAAAAAAAAAAAAAAAAAGGGGGGGGGGGGGGGGGGGGGGAAAAAAAAAAAAAAAAAAAAAAAAAAAAGGGGAAGAGGGGGAAGGGGAAAAAAAAAAAAAAAAAAAAAAAAAAAAAAAAAAAAAAAAAAAAAAAAAAAAAAAAAAAAAAAAAAAAAAAAAAAAAAAAAAAAAAAAAAAAAAAAAAAAAAAAAAAAAAAAAAAAAAAAAAAAAAAAAAAAAAAAAAAAAAAAAAAAAAAAAAAAAAAAAAAAAAAAAAAAAAAAAGGGGGGGGAAAAAAAAAAAAAAAAAAAAAAAAAAAAAAAAAAAAAAAAAAAAAAAGGGGGGGGGGGGGGGGGGGGGGGGGGGGGGGGGGGGGGGGGGGGGGGGGGGGGGGGGGGGGGGGGGGGGGGGGGGGGGGGGGGGGGGGGGGGGGGGGGGGGGGGGGGGGGGGGGGGGGGGGGGGGGGGGGGGGGGGGGGGGGGGGGGGGGGGGGGGGAGGGGGGGGGGGGGGGGGGGGGGGGGGGGGGGGGGGGACCCACCAACAAGGAGGAAAAAAAAAAAAAAAGAGGGGGGGGGGGGGGGGGGGGGGGAAGAGGGGGGGGGGGGGGGGGGGGGGGGGGGGGGGGGAGGGGAAAAGGGGGGGGGGGGGGGGGGGGGGAGGGGGGGGGGGGGAGGGGGGGGGGGGAAAAAAAAAAAAAAAAAAAAAAAGAGAAGAAAAAAAAAGGGGGGGGGGGGGGGGGGGGGGGGAGGAGAGGGAAGGGAGGAAGAAAAAGGGGGGGGGGGGGGGGGGAGGAGGGGGAAAAAAAGGGGGGGGGGAGAAAGGGGGGGGGGGGGGGGGGGAAAAGAAGAAAAAAGGGGGAGAAAAAAAAAAGGAAAAAAAAAAAAAGGGGAAAAAAAAGAGAAAAAAAAGGAGGGGGGGGGGGGGGGGGGGGGGGGGGAAAGAGAAAAAAAAGGAAGGGGGGGGGGGGGGGGGGGAAAAGGGGGGGGGGGGGGGGGGGGGGGGGGGGGGGGGGGGGGGGGGGGGGGGGGGGGAAAAAAAAAGGGGGGGGAGGGGGAAAAAATGGGAAAGAAAAAAAGGAAAAAAAAAAAAAAAAAAAAAAAGGGGGGGGGGGGGGGAGGGGAAAAGGGGGGGGGGGGGGGGGGGGGAAAAAGGGAAGGGGGGGGGGGGGGGGGGGGGGGGGGGGGGGGGGGGGGGGAGGGAAAAGAAAAAAAATGGGGGAGGGAGGGGGGGGGGGGGGGGGGGAAAGGGGGAAAAAAAGGTCCGGTTTTGTGAACATAGAGTTAAAAAGGGAGGGGTTGTTTTTTTTGGGGGGGGGGGGGGGGGGGGGGGGTTTTTTTTTTTTTTTTTTTTTTTTTTTTGGGGGGGGGGGAGGGAAAGATTGGGAAGGCCCCCCCACGGCCCCCCCGGGGGGGGGGGCCCCCCCCCCCCCGGGGGGGGGGCCGCGGGGGCGCGCGCCCCCCCCCCCCGCGGGGGGGCCGCCCCCCCCGGGGGGGCGGGCGCGGCCCGCGGGCGGGGGGGGGGCGGCGGGGGGGCCCCGGGGCAAAATAAATATTGTGAAGTTACAGTCAGAATGATCCCCTGGAGCAACTTCAAGGGGGGGGGGGGGGGGGGGGGGGGGGGGGAAAAAAGATCATCAAGCTATGAAAATAACTGAAATAAAAATTCTGTATCCAACAAATAACAAAAAAAAAAATGCTTTAAGTTCAACACCCCATTCAGTGGGAAAGCGGTATTACCCCACTTTGTCGTGTCGGCTCATTCGGCTGCTTATGCAGCATGACACTCCCACTATTTGGACTAACTGACTGAGCTGGTGGAAATAGTTGTTGTTCAAATATCCCACCAGAGGGCGATTGGGTCGTCACTGCCCTACGCCTTAAAAATCCCTTGGTCGCCTTTTACGACACCCATGGGTAGAGATGGGGAGGTGCTATTCTATAAGCAAGAACTCTAGAACATGATGGCTTTGGAATAGTTTGTGCCCTATTAGATTAATAATTGACCATCCTGTTATTATAAGAGTAATACGATGATATTATTAATAAAAAATACGCAGTAACAATTACATACAATGAATTTAAGAATCAAAAAAGAATTCAATTTCATGGTTCGTGTATTCTTACCTTTCGACACAGATTTTCAATATTCTGAAATCCACATATAATAGTTTTGCTCTTAATATTGATTGAATACTTTTTTAATTGTGTTAAAATATATGTAAAAAAGGTGCAGTGACTTTTATGCGAATCATATTATGTTCACTGCTATGAGAACGACCTCGAGTTGCCGCCGTTAACCGACCGATGGCGTCGCCGTAGCTTCGCCTGTCGCCACGATATCCTATAGGCCTATATCGTATTTTTTTATATTGGTTATCTGCGCTTTTGCTGTATGATTTGTGATCTAATTCATCTGTGGCAGACGGCAGTTAATCTATTATCTAGAACAACAATAATTATGTTCAATTATTTATTTATACATCTGAATTGTTAATAGTAATTAGTAAATGATAAGACAACTGCTGCCTATTAAAGAAAAACAAGACGACAATATTGAGTGGCATGAACATTTCTTGTAAGTTCTTTGGTTTCTCAATTTCTGGAAGAAATGGATGAGGAAGGAAAACTACCACTGAAACGAGTCGAGTTATCATTGTCTAAGTTCAATGAAGTTGCAATCCCTCATCACTTAGACCTATTGCGACAACACAAAGCCAATATTCTAAAGGTAGGTACAACGTTGTTTTTACGTTTTAATTTGAATATTATGTAAACTGTGCGTAGTACATTGACGTCACAATGTATTGAAAAATATAGCGAAAACAGTTAATAGTATTATTAATTAGAGTATAATATATGAAAATTATTTGCTAGTTCATATAATATATAGCTGTTGTATCTGTAAGTGTTTATTTACTTAGCTTAGAAAGCAAGAGTGTCAATTGAGTTATAATTATTATTCACAAAAGTTTTCATTAGCATTTGTCTGGTCGCTATAACCCAAAAATGGTTTGATTATAATATAAGTGCCTAGATAGAATGTCAATGATTAAACACACAAATATGTCTATCCCATTCTATCAGTTGATCTTGAAAAACATTAAAAATTATGAAAAAGGCTTTCTCAATAATATTATTTTTGATACAAATTTCTCACTTTTCACTTATTTAGTATGAGGAAACAGGTGACTACAGTCGTGTCCGATGTGAACAAGTACATGCGCGTCGCGTGTCATCTCAACTGCGAGCATTGCTCGGTGAGATGGAGGCTCTTAGAAGGCAGGTGTGCTGTGCTGATCGAGCTCGTTTTGACAAACTCACACAACACTCCAGAGACCTCACCTTGAAAGCAATAATGGACTATCTGGGTAAAAAGTTATTTTCTAATATCTTGCATTGAGATTATTGTTGTATTAAAATTAGCTGTTTATATATCATTAAAAAAATAATATTAGACTTAAAATTCTGTTTAAAAATATAGTTGGGACTTGTTTGTATAATCAAGCCAAGCTTTTTTTTATTTTTGTTGATTAGTTAACGGTCTGTTAGGTCTAGCTTTATTAGTAGCAGGTAAACAAAATCAAGATGTAAGAGGATTCTAAGCAAATATATCTTTCTAGGTGTTATAGAGAGGAGTTGCATTGCAATAGTAGAGTCGAACCAAACACGAGCATCTGCCTGCGGTGAGGCTAGAGTGCTGTTGCTTTTGTTTTCCTCATAATTTACCCATAATAATTCGCCCATTACACACTTTTATTAACAAAACTCTCAAAACTTTGAACAAAAAACAAAGCCCAAAGTTGAAAAGACTCAGAAAGATCTCAAACACTTTCCTGACTTCTATAATCTCTTGATTTTTTAAAAGTTTAACTGGGCTTTTAAGTACTACTACAAGTGATGAACGTGGCGTTCGCAGAGACGACTCCCCTGTCCGTAAATCGTCCGGCGACGGATGATGGCATGGAGTCCGGCAGCCTGGCGTCCACGGACTCCGTCGGCATAGTCCCGGAGCAGGTGCAGCTGCGAGTGGAGCCAGACGCGAGCATGTCGCTACGGGAACGCGAAGCTGTGTTGGCGGGTTGGAGCGCGCTGCAGAGCGAGGTGAGGGCTCTGCACGAGGCTTGGCAGAGTGTGCAGGCCGCCGCTCTGCGCCAGAGGCGGCCCCTGGAAGCCGCCGCCGACGGCGTCGAGGTCGCGGCCGACGCCGTGGGCGACGCGCGAACGCATCTGGCGCTCGCCGAAAGGCTGCGAGCGGGCATGTACGGAGCTGGAGGCGCGTTGGCCGGCGCCGCCCTGTTTGGCCCCGCGGGGCTGCTGCTGGGGGCGAAGGCCGGCGCCGCGGCGGTAGTGGCCGGCTCCGCGCTCGGCTACCTCGCCGCCGCCGTAGTGGGGCGCCGTCGCCGGGCGCAGATCGACGAGCGGCCGCCCGATAAGGGTCAATAGTCGTCTTATACAGTAAAAATATCAAGGACGGAAAAATAAAAGGCTCAAAGACAAGAATCTACATTCAGAGGCTGATTTCATTTCTATGCTGATCGATTCACGATTTTGGTTTATACAACTAAGTACAAAATTATTATAAAAGCTACTCACAAAAAGAAGAGTATTGCCACATATGCCTCGCCCTGTTACCGCTCAAGAGACTAATCGTTTTGTCTGTTATTTGTATGTACATAATATATAAAAACATTGAAAATATTTTTATAGTAAATTGTATTATTAAATATTTATTTACCTTGGAGGTAAAATCTGATATTTTCTAGTCAATTGTTGGTGACTAAGCAACTGCTGTGCAAGTAATAAGGCTGTCCATTGCACTTCAAATGTTTGTTTGAAATTGAATAAAAATAATAAAAAATTATTGATGAGAAATTCATAGTTGAGTAGTAAAACTACAAAGCTGACGAGCTAAGCTTTGTTTATTATGATTTTTATTTACTCTTTAATTATAAGTAAAATGTAATTGTTTTTTTGAAAGATCGAGACTTGCATAAATTGCTGATCCCCCTAGGGATTCCTAAACTTTGTTAGTTGCCGAGGTAAACTATTAAAAAATAAAATGTAAATATTATATTTTTCTATATTAATTACATCGCTTTTTATTTCCACCCTGCCAATTTTTATACAGGCGAGTGATTCTGATAACAAATATCGCAATTCGCATTCATCTTCTTCTTATAGTGCCATCTCCTTGCGAAGGTTGGCGATCATCATGGCTATTTTAATTTTGGATGCCGCGCTTCTAAACAATGACTTGGTGCTTTGACCAAACCATTGTCTCAAGTTTTTCAACCAGGACGTGCGTCTGCGGCCAGGTCTCCTTCTACCTGCCACTTTGCCTTGTATGATTAGTTGAAGGAGCTCATATTTTTTGGAGTTGCGTAAAACGTGTCCGAAATACTCAAGTTTCCTTTTCTTAACCGTCATAAGCACTTCTTTGTTCTTCTGCATTCTGTCCAGCACGGTTGTATTTCGTATGCGGTCTGTCCAAGATATTTTAAGCATACGTCGATAAACCCACATCTCAAACGCTTCCAGTTTTTTGGACATAGTCTCTGTCAGCGTCCAAGATTCTACGCCGTAGAGCAGCACAGAGAAGACGTAACATCGCGCAATGCGAGTTCTAAGCTGTAAATTTAGGCGCTTGTCACAAAGTACTTTTTTTAGTTTTGAAAAGGCGTTCCGAGCTTGTTCAATTCTGCAGCGGATTTCGATGCTATGGTCACCCTTTTCATCAATCACTGTGCCTAGATATCGTATTTTCGAGACACGTTCCAAGGTCTGATTGTTGAGGTATATATGTTGCGTGAAAAGCTCCGGTGTTCGGCTTATTGTCATATATTTTGACTTTTTCGCATTGATGCTAATACCAAATTCAGAACTCACGGTAGCAACTGAATTGACTAAATTCTGTAGACCATCGAGGCTCTCTGCGATTAAGATCGTGTCATCAGCGTATCTCAAGTTATTCAGCAGTTTGCCATTAATTGCTATGCCATGTTGACAATTATCTAGGGCTTCTGAAAATATTGCATCGGCATACAAGTTAAATAGCAAAGGTGATAAAATGCAACCTTGACGCACACCTCTCTGAATCTCGATATATGAAGAATGTTTGCTGTTTACCCTTATATTAGCACTTTGCTTCCAGTATAGGTTTTTAATGAAACAGCAATCTTTATAATCTAAGCCAATTCTCTGGAGTATTTCCATCATTTTACCATGTCGTACATTATCAAAAGCTTTCTCATAATCGACAAAACAGACGAAAAGATCCCTATTCATGTCCAAGCATCTCTGTATCAACACTTGATAGCCAAAGAGAGCGTCTCTCGTCCCTAAACCGCTTCTAAAGCCAAATTGGGTGCAGGATAGTGTTGATTCACATTTAGAGTATATCCTGTTATGTATCACTTTCAGAAAGAGTTTCAAAACATGGCTCATAAGTGAGATAGTCCGATAGTCGTTGCATTTTTTGGGATTCTTTGTTTTCGGAATAGTGATAAATGTTGACTTAAGCCAGTCAGAAGGAATGGTTCCTGAGTCGTATATACCATTAAAAAGGGTTGTGATATAATCTAAGTTACATTCCTCAATTTCCTTTATAATCTCTGTTGGTATATTATCCGCTCCGACAGCTTTCCGAGTTTTTGCTTTTGTTATGGCATAGTAGATTTCACGCTTTGTAATAGATGGACCAACATCACTACACTTGAGGTTAACATTTTCTGGTCGTGAGTCACAGAAAAGTTCACTAATATACCTAGTCTTCCCAAGTGTTAAGCATGTCATCAGTGCAGGTTGTATATTTGCCATCGTTTTTAAGAAGTGTCATTTCGCTGCGTCCTTGATGTTTAGGTGTTATGAGTTCTTTTATCTTCTTATGCATACCAAAGCTGTCGTATTTCCTATCTAACTCCTCAATTTCTGAACATAACTCCCCATACCAAGATTCCTTTGCCTGTCTTATCTTTTTTCGTATGAGGATCTTTAGCGCATCGTATTTTTCTTTATCTTTTTTGTTTTCACGTCTTTTTTCCATCAAGTCTAAGATTTCATTGGTAATCCATTTGGTCTTTTTTACTCGTGGAGCTGTCACCAATATTTCGTTGCTGGTCTTAATAATAGAAGATTTAAGAAGTTGCCACATTTGTTCTGTATTGACAGAACCGTGATTATCATTATGATTCAACTTACGCATTTCTTCATTAATTGTACCTGTGTAGTTGTTTCCTAGACTCGACGTCCCTCAACTTGTCAAAATCAATTTTTCTGGATTGAGGATGACGGCAAACTTTCTTCAATTTTACTGAGACTATTGCCACGACTGGATTGTGATCAGAACCTATATCTGCACCAGGGTATGTTTTAGCCGATTTAATGCTATTTCTATGCCTTTTGTTTATTAACAAGTAATCAATCTGGTTACGCACAATCCTGTCCGGCTTATGTGCTGGCGATTGCCAAGTATAGAGTCTACGTGGTGGTAATTTGAAGAAAGTATTCGCAACAACAAAATCGTGTTCCTGGCAGAATTGTACTAGTCTTTCACCCCTGTCGTTACGAGCGCCGAGACCAAACTTTCCAATAATATCCGAGACAGCACCTTGACCGATCTTGGAGTTGAAATCACCTGTCACGATTGATAGCTCGTTAGGTTTTGTTAATTTCAGAGCCGCATCTAAGTCGTTGTAAAAAGTCTCGTTCAATTCCTCACTTTTGTCTGCTGTCGGTGCATATACTTGAACGATGTTGATGTTAAATGGTTTGGCTTCAAGTTGTAATAACATTACTCGGTCTGAAAGAGGAAGAAAGTTCTTAACTAGAGTTTCTATATTTTTCTTAATAAGCACGGCAACTCCATATCTATGATGTTGTATGTCGCTGCTACCAGAGTAGTATATTGTAGCATCACCAGATGTTAAAGTCCCATTTCCATACCATCTTAAGTCACTTATGCCAAGTATATCCAAATCCATTCTATTCATTTCCTGTAAAAGATTATCCAATTTTCCATCTTCGTATAAACTGCGGACGTTCCAAGTTGCTATCTTCATGGCTGACCCGGAGATTCTTCGCACCCTCTGACCACTTAAGGTCTGCCGGGGACTAAGGGCCATGGTTATATTTGTCTCAGCCATAATGATATCCTGGGAAAAATAATGTGGTGGTTTTCCGTTGCCTTCCACATCGCTGTTTGCTGGTATTGCCAACAATATGACTGACGACTGTACAGGCTTTCTAAGCTCCCACTCGTTCAGTCTACCCCCTACGCAGCTGCCCGTAGTTGAAGGATAATGCTTATTTACTGGCGGCATTGACTCGCCATGTCGCAACGTTTTCACAGGATCTTTGTAGTATTTCCTGGAAGAGCCTTTCCTAAGGGCTCCCCACTACACCCTCTAACGCTGCCGGTGTGTGGTCGGGGACTGCATAAAGCAGCTAACCGCAATATCTTACGGTCGTTCCACTATCCGCTACCTGTGGACCCCGGTAGTAGCTCACACCTAAGCCCTACCTAAGCCCTAATTCGCATTCATAACGATACTTATCGCGACCTCTGACAACGTATGTCAACATCCAATACCTATATTACAAAATCTAAAAACAAAGCCCAGGCAGATTCGTCCGATAGACAGGTGGGAAAATCTGGCAACAGCCAACATTTAAACAATTTTACAAAAACGTTGTAAAAACGGTTTCATCATTAACTGCTCACTCTCCTGAATGACAGTTCATAGATACAATAGTATAAAGTCAGTGAATAATGCTAATGCAACTTATATAGGTCGGTTATCGAAAGCTGGCGCGTTCACAGTACTCACACTAATGCAATTTCACATACAGTATGTTTCAAAATATGATTTTTTTGCCATGCTATACATTTTAGTCCACTCTTACACGACGGACAGTCTATTCATGATGTATTTATGATTGTATTTCAGTTTGACATTACGTCTCGCGCTTATTCACAGACACTACACAAGCACAAAGTGTAAATGTGTTGAAGCCGCCAGCTTTAGTTAACATACCTATACTAATACAACCAATATGCATCAAAAGAATAAAAGTATAGCTACTTCTATACCTTCTGTTGTTTTCATTATCCTTTTTAAATTTGATAAACTTTTTACAATAAGCTATAGTTCTTAATAGGTAATTTATTTAAGTAGTAAATTCCAACACTCACTTTGCCAGAGGACTTTCTTGAACAACCCTCGAACGTCGAATTGGTTCGGAAACGCTCAGCTGTGGAACGGTATTCGTTATCGAGGTGATTCGGGTGGAATTTCATATTCTGCCTCGATGTCTAAATATGAAACAGCTGCAGGTGCCGAACACTCTTCGTGTGAAATTCGGTAGAAGATGTAGAGAGACCCTATATCTCTACGCAACACCAAGGGATCAAGCCACTCGGAAAGTTGTGAATGGAAGGAGCTGGTACTGGGGAGCTCACGCCCAGAGGTGAGAACATACCTCCATAGGGGCTCTTGTCGCTTTATATATTTGCAAGCGATGGCCCGAAGTGAAGTACCGTCTTGCCTTGCTGAGTACACCAAGCTACTTGGAGGCAAATTTAGCCTTCCCTTCCAAATAACCGTGAAACTGAACGTCATACGATATGTCAACGTCCAGTGTTCCGATGCTGGCAGTGGCTTTAAGGAGAATATCTTCGAAGAGTGAAGTAGCGTTAAAGGGTGCTCTTTTAGAACTGGTCAGAACTCTTAGGACTTACTAGGACCAACTTTAAATAAATTGAAATCTCTGAAAATCCCCTTGGTTACTTGAATTTCCCTAAAATTGGGGATGCCAACTTGGGGGTTTCTCTAAAAACCCCCAAGTTGGCATCAGTGGTTCATTTGTTCGCTTTATTATTTTATAATATTTAGAAATTTTAAAAATGACAACAAGACATTGACAATTACCTTTTTGAATCATTGTTATCTGTGACAAATCTTTGAAGCTTTTCAAAACAAAGATGGCTGACGTTTTTGTGATTAATAGGAGTAAAACTGAACGGTTTTAAGTTTTACTTTAATGTGTAATTAAAACTAGCTTATTTTAATAATATTTTCAACAAGATTTATTTTAATAGTCAAAACACTTTACATTGAAAAGACAATGTTGGAATAAGTTCTTGCACGTCATAAGGTTCGGTAGGGAGTGAGGAGTCAATTATTGATGAATGTGCGGTTAGACTTAAATCGTGAGTGATGTCTTTTCCACCTCGGCCGCCGATGGTACCATATGGAATTGCCCCAGGGGTAGTTACAATGCAGATGCCTACACATGTAAGTTTACCAGGTTTACCTTACCGATACCAGGAGACATCACATATAACCTAAAACCAAACTCAACCTATTCTGTAATAATAATTATACAATATCCTTATGACTATTATTATAAAACTGCAAGTGTTTAACATTGTTCATATAGTCAAGATCATTTTTATAATGTATATGTCTGTTGTATGATTGTTTTGGTTTGTTGTGGGTGGTTTCCTTGTTTCAAACAAGGTAAGTATGCCTAACATAATATGATATAATATTAAGAGTCAGAATCTATGATTAATAAACATCAGAAAACAGTGGTTGTTTATCTAAAGCTTATCCTTTGCCAAAAGACAGGTTTAGGCATTCTCTAGCAAAGTGAATCCACATTGAACTAGCTATCTTTTTTAAACTATCCATCCAGACTTCTTTATGTCTTCTTGCACTCTTCATTTTTAATTCTTGGATACCGATCTGTTTTAATACTGTTCCACCATTGTTGTCTGTATGTAGTTGGTGTATGGTCTTCGAATTTTGTTTTTATTTAAACATGTATATATCTTAATTTAATTTATTCAACTCATTTTAATACTTTTATACTTCTTGGAATACTGTTTAGAGAAATTTTAAGCTGATTACCCAGCTGTTCTGATACCTGTACCTGCAAACTTGACTAAAGACAGTTATGTAAACAATTCTTATCTTGCCCAGTGACCAGAATGGTTTTTAAGTGTTGCCTATGGTTCTCTTTTCTTCTTTATGCATATACTCTTCATTATATTTGCTGTCCTATTGCAGTGGTGTATATTCCTTTCTTTGTATTTTTTTTATTTTATTCTCTAACCTTTATTACATATGCATGTACACAGCAGGTGGTAAATAATAATATATATGTTTATTTATTTATTAAATTTTACCACATCATACATAATGCTATATCTACAGTATATATTTAAGGTAAATAAAAAATACAATAGAAATTACTAGCAAAACAAACAAAACAATTAGCCTAATCATATAGACACTTAACAATGCTTTTTTAAAACTGATCAGCCCTCTAACGAATATGTCAAGCTCTGGATAAGTAGTGCTTATTCTGTTATATTCATGAAGAAATCGATTGAGTAGTGCCTCTTACGCCTAGGTTGGTTTTTGCAGACAGAATTTGGAAAAATCCGCTGAATTTTCAAAGGTTTTAATCCTTTCCGTGGGAATGAATAAGGGATGACAATGTTATGTAAGAGGTTACTGTTCTGTATTTGACCATTTAAACATTTTTATAAGAATGTAACACAAGTTAGAGATCTCCGGTCATACATGTTTGTTATGATCAATTTGCACATGTTTACCTCAACTTCTAGAACTTAGGTTATTATTATGCATAATCTATACGTTATCACACTTTCAAGGTGATGGTGGGGGCGTACGGCAGCGGGACAGTGGCGGGTCGCGGCGCCCTGCTGCCTGCTCCGGCGGCGGGCGCGGCAGGCGCCAAAGCCGGTCGCGGGGCTCGTGCGCACAACGGGCAGAGCGAAGGGCCGCCCGTCACGGTATTCATCGGCAACATCTCTTCGCGGGCGCCCGACGCGATGATGCGCGCCTTGCTGAGTGCGTGTGGCGCCGTCTGCAGCTGGAAGCGCGTGAGCACGTTTGGATTCTGCGAGTTCGCGGGCCCTGCGGCTGCGCTGCGCTGCGTTAGGCTGCTGCACGATCGGCCTCTCGCCGAGCGCGCGCTTCTCGCCCGCGTGGACGGCAAGATGCAGGCGCTCGTCGACACGTACAAGACGGAGCAGCGCTCGCGCCTCGTCGAGGGCGGTGCGGAGGGCGGCGCCGACGAGTACCTCGACGCCAAGCAGCGCGGCCTGGACGATGCGGTCGAGAGGAAGATCGCGCAGATCTATCGAGACTACCAAGAGGAGATTAACAACTACGAGATCCTGCAGAAAGGTGCCGCCTCTCGTCGGCCGGCCTTCGAGCTCGACTCGCCGCTTGTCCTAACGTTCGAATGTGTTCCACAGAGGAGCAGATCTCGAAGACGGCGCGCGTGCTCGAGGAGGCGGACATCTCGGAAGAGAAGCGGGACGTCATCCACCGGGAGATCGGCAAGTTCCGCGAGAGCATGAAGGTGAGTCCCCTTCCGTTGGCACCCGGCCCCTCTCGCTTGCACACGCACACACGCGCAAAAAATGTATAGGTTTGCGGGAACTGGGGCATTTCGAGGTTTATCATGTTAATAATCATTGAGAAGTGAATACAGAGAAGGAAGGAATTTCCCGGTTCGTCACTTGTCACAAATAATGATTTCTCTTTTGTCGACTTAACGTAGTGATCGAATTATTATTATGTGTATATTAAACGGCTAGAATGCATGTAGGAGGTAGCGCGAATGTGTGCGTGTGCGCCGTCATCGCGTGTCGCCGGACGCCGAGAGTCGCGGTGAGTTGTATCACTCAGACCCACCTTCACTCGCTCTGACTCACTCTCAGCCACTCATCAATTCACACTCACCGACTCACACTCACACCGCACTCTGAGCGCGCGGGACTGTTCAACTCCATTTCGGTATTCAGGAAGCGACTTTCGTAAGCCAGAGTGAGGTGTGGCTGAAAAATGCTAAGACACAGTGGTATCAGTTTATATGTTGTAAAATCGATACATCAAATATATTAAACGAGGAAAATGATTTGCTTCAATGCTTTTTGAGAACCTCTTAATAGAACGATTGTTTTAAATATGTCGGAGTTAAATTCCCAATCTGCGGACAAATCATATTTTTCGGGATTTTATTATTTCATTCCTACACTCATTCTATGGCATGGTCGTGTTATTTAGTTGAACCTATATTATACTCTATGTAATACAATTACAATTTTTTACACGCCACATTCAAGGAAACTAATACCAAAATGAGAATGACCGAACGACCGAATTCTTCCCTCGCATGGGTTTAAACTAACTGTAAGAAATATTCAATTTATTTCTTATATTCGCCGAACGACACAGAGCACTGCCGCTAAAGCAGACGACATTGAACTTGTTTTTTTAGCCAGAGATTCCATAAACATTTTATGCTCGCTTTCCAAAGAATAGATCGAACCTATCGCCTAGTCTGTCTCCAACAACGGAAAAAACCGGGATCCGTGAATGCGACCGGTTTCAATACAGACGGTCATTCTCCTTTTATGAAATAATTTAAGGTTCGGCGTCGGTGGGTCTACGGTGATCTTTTGTCGTGACTCGTTATCAGAAAAAATATAAAAGAGTCAGCGTAGACCGACCCGTCGAGGGTCGCGGCTCGCATTCGTGAGTTGCGAAGCCGCGGCCGCCGCGGTGAACTCCGACTCCGTCGCTCGTGGGCCGCGAGACGGAGACGGAGCGCGCCGCGGCCCGTCCGCAAGAGCAGCGCGACCAGCGAGGACCCGCCGCCCGCCGCTTCGCCTCGCGCCGCCGCGCGTAAGTTGCATTGCTCCCTTGTCCCGTCCGACCGGCGTCGAACGCGTTCTCTTTTAGTCACACTAATTAAAGAGAGAGATGGACCTTTCGAGGAGAAAGATTTGACTCGCCCTATACGCACGTCGGCGACCCGACGTTTACGCGACTTTCGATAATCCAATCGTTAGATCGCCATCCCGACGGTCGCCGCTCACCGCCTGCGTGCGAGGGCGCGTGCGCATGTGCGATTGTGCCGTTAAAGAACTCGAGAGATCGCCGGCTCGATCTTTGGGCTTAGTTTAGTAGTTTTACAATTCGGCTGTAGAGCGTTGAAATGTCGTACGTAGGCGTACGTAGCGTTAACCGAACCGTTGACACTGTGACAGCGTTGCGTTCATTTGATTGTAGCCGTTGTGGGCCCGTGACGAGCGCCGCCCCGACCGCTTCGCCGCGCGCACGTAAGTCACTTTACCTTACCTTTACGTTTCGTCAGTTAACTGGCTCCCCCGGCTAACCCGGCTTCCCTTCCCCGCTCGGTGTGCGGCCTCCGAGCGCCGCTCCCCGTGGCGCCTCTCCTCCGGCCGCACACCGACGAGGCAGGTGTGCGGTGTGCGATCGTCGAGTGCGCCTCTCGCGGCGATTATAAGGTCCGTCTTGCGCAGGAGGAGGCCGACGTCGTGGTGCGGCGCAAGAGGGACAAGGACGACAAGCCCGAAAAGGACAAGGAGAGGGACCGCGACAAAGACAGGGATAGAGACCGGGATCGAGAGCGCGACAGGGACAGGGAGCGGGAGCGGGAGCGAGAGCGAGAGCGAGATCGCGAGCGGGACAAAGATAGGGAGAGGGACCGGGACCGCGACAAGGACAGGCGGAAGAGGAGCGTTTCCAGGTATTGTCGCTTAGAACTTACCCTTTGTATGACGACTGATTACGTTTCTTCTGTTATTATGATTTTCACTCTTTTCTTACAGAGGTAAGGAACGGGACCGAGAACGGGAGGAGCGAGAGAGAGAGCGCGAGCGCGAGCGAGAGAGGGAAAGAGAACGAGAAAGGGAGAGAGAAAGGTACTTGTCACCGAAGCTTTTACGGTGTCTCACGAACTTGCTCATTCTCATTCATTTCGCTGGATTTTCTCGATCCCGAAGCAAAGGCGAAAGTGTCCGCGGTTAGCGAATTAACTTTTACCAGATTTATGGAATGTTTTCGTACACTTAAAGGATTTTATTTTCCAGAGAGGTTCGCGAGCGTGAAAGAGAGCGGGAACAGAGGGAAAGAGAGAGAGAACGCGAGCGAGAAAGAGAACGGTGAGACAATTGTACTAAATTATTAACGAACGAAGAGACGATCATCGTTCTTTCTGATAACTCTTTACGTTTAAAAACTTATTTTGAATCGGGAAGATAACTCGTAAATAACATTAATATTTCAAAAAAATATATAAGATTCGTAAACTAATGAATGTTTCTGATCAAGAATTATCCCGACCCCAAAGGATGTTATGAAAAGTAACTGAGGTGCAACGGTCCGGGGAACTAAATAATAGAACGAGAGGGCGCGAGATAAAGGCAATGAACGTGTAGGCTTAGATCGTAAACGTCGGGAAACTAATAAAAATTTAATCTTGACGCAGTTTGAGCACTATCGCTGCGCGTGCGCTACGCCCTTCATTTGTGATTTTAACCTAATCAAACGAATCGGTTCGGAGCAGCTTTCATTTTCACCTATTACAACAGTTTCCTAATTTTTAACAAATTCGCCGACATACGAACGATGTCGCCGGCGGTGAGCTTCATCCACCCCTACATCCGCACTCGCCACGAGATTCGGGCGGCTCTGCGAGGGTACGATCTCTTTTTCATCGACGATCGCGAACCATTTCACCCGCTCGCAATAATTGTTTCCCCGAAATTTCAGCGAACAACGAGAGCGGGAACGAGAGCGCGAACGGGAGCGCGAGAGATCGCGGGACAGAGATCGAGACAGGGAGAGGGGCCGGGGGAGGGGGACTCGCGACGGGACAAGGAGTTGGAGGACGAGGCCCGCGACAAGAAGAGGCTGGAGAAGAAGGCGCGCGAGAAGGAAGCCGCCTATCAGGAACGGTGAGCGGACGACGGACTCTCTCGTCGGAGGCCCGAGCGGCGACTTGACCGGTACTCTTTCTATCGCAGGCTCCGGAACTGGGAGGGTCGCGAGCGCCGTAAGGCGAAGGAGTACGAGCGAGACAAAGAGCGGGAGAGGTGCCGCGAGGAGGAGAGGGAACGAGAGGCCAAGAGACTCAAGCAATTCCTCGAGGACTACGACGACGAGCGGGACGACCACAAGTACTACAAGTGAGTGCGCGGATCCGCCGACCTCCTCCGCCCCGCGCCTCACGCCGCCGCTAACCGCGTACGCTTCGGCGGTCTCCTTCGCAGGGGCAAGGAGCTGCAGCGGCGCCTGGGCGCGCGCGTGCGCGAGGCCGAGAGCGACGGGCGCGAGAGGCAGCGCGAGCAGGAGGAGCTGAGCGCGTTGCGGGCCGAGATCTTCGGCGCCGCGCCGCCCGACGACCCCGTCGCGGGCGCGGCCTTCGAGCGCGCCAAGAGGGCGCACGAGGAGCGCTACCGGCCGCGGCCGCTCCTCGACGTCACGCTGCATCACGAGCTGCAGCAGGAGAGGGAGCGCCAGCGCGCCGTGCGCCGCGAGAGGGCGCGCCTCGAGGCCCGCGAGAGGCTCGCCCGGGAGCGCGATCGCTACCTGCGCGCGCAGGCCTCGCGGCAGCTGCCCACCGAGGCCGAGCCCATCGACTCCGACTCGGAGTGAGTAGAGGCCGAACGAGACGGTCGACTCGGTCGCGGACTCGTCTCTCTGAACGCGCGTCATCCTTTTCAGCGGCGGAGTCGCTTCGGGCGCGTCGGAGAGCGGAGAGCGCGGGGCGGGCGAGATCGGCGCCGAGGCGGCGGAGGACGCCGACGGCGGGGAGGCGGGCGAGGGGCGAGAGGGCGAGGGCCGGACGTCGGCGGACGAGGCCAGCGGATCCCTGACGCCCCCGCGACCCCCCGCCGCACACCCCCGCAGACATCGCCATCGCCGGCATCGCCGAGACACGGTCGGTCCCCGTCTACGTTCGTTTGGAACGGAAAATAAAATGTCTTCTAATTATTAACGAAGCATGCGATTTCAGCAAAACGGAGGCAGCACCCCTCCCTCCCCCGAGCCCGCTCCTTCTCATCGGCACCACGCACACGTGAGTACTCGGCCTCGTTAATGCGAAACTGTTTCCTCGATTCTTTCTCTGTCGTAATCGCGCGACTGCCTCTTCAGGGCGGCGGCGGCGGCGGCGGCGTCTCGGTGGGCGGCTCGCCCATCTCCATCAGCTTCAAGGGCAAATCGCCGGGCCTCACCCCCGCCGCGCTCACGCCCGCGGCCGACATGGGGCGAGTGCACGCGGCCTTCGCCGACGAGGACGAGCCCTCGCCCGACGCGCCCCGCCATCACCCCCACCGCAGGCACTCGTCGAGCAAGGACAAGCGCGACCGAGAGAAGCGCAAGCGCGAGAACAGCGAGAGCGAGAAGGCGGACGGGGGCGACAGGGGCGAGGAGGGCAAGAGCGCCGAGGAGAAGAGGGCGCAGGTGAAGAGCCTCATCGACAAGATCCCCACGCAGAAGGAGGCGCTGTTCCGGTACGAGCTCGACACGGAGCAGATCGACGCGGCGCTCATGGACAAGAAGATCCGGCCCTGGATCAACAAGAAGATCATCGAGTACATCGGCGAGCCGGAGCCGACGCTCGTCGACTTCATCTGCAGCAAAGTGCTGGCCGGCTCCGCGCCCCACACCATCCTCGACGACGTGCAGATGGTGCTGGACGAGGAGGCCGAGGTCTTCGTCGTCAAGATGTGGCGCCTGCTCATCTACGAGCTCGAGGCCAAGAAGGCCGGCCTGCACAAGGCCGCGTAGACGCGAAATGTCAAATAAATATTATTACTTTATCGATTGCCTCGTTTTTGTCTCGTCTCCCTTCTAAGATTAACAATTAAATAGCGGCAACGAATCAATTATCTCGTTCGTCGACGAGCCTATCGGGTGATCGCGTGAAACCAATTATTCCTCGCAGCGATGTCTCTCAGAGCGATATCTTCGTCCTTGCTGTTGTTTCTTTTTATTATGACAGTAAGTAAATTGTTTAGTATAATAAACCGTTCGATTTCCGTTTTAACCGAATGAAATATGGGTTAGTCGAGAGATTTCAATGATTTTAAACGGTTCGCGCCACGCAGGACTGCCTAATTAGTTATTTTTTCTTTACTTTATGAAATTACGCTTAAGTTTTGACATTTAGTGTCCTCGTAGGAGGCTGGCTTTTTATTCCGTGTCCCGTCGCGCTTAATAGGAGAAGGGCACGCGCCGGAGTCGCCGCGGTCGCAGCGCCGGTGGGCGAGTAATAAACCACAACAAGGAAAAGGACAACCGGAACGAGCTCTCGATTGGCTCATCGTAAACGGAAACCTTTCTAATTCGTAACTATCTCTTATTTCGCGTTCAACTATATAACTAATAATAAATACACATACTAATCGTACACGTTGGCGATCATTTTCGATTTCGATTTTATACATAATCCATTGGTAACATGTTATTAACAAAGAAAAGTGCGTGGAATGATAGCTTATTTTTACATTATCTTTTCTAATCATTTAAATAGATCTGTTTGTTTTCATTTTTCAGGTTAAAATTTTATGTCAACACAAATGAGTAAGTTTTCGATACTTTCAAATACTGAAATGACAAAGAAACCGGTTCATACTTAGAAATTACGCATCATAATAATAAAACGTAGCGTAGGTACATATTTGACATAAATGTATCATTTATTTCGACCTTCCTAAAAGGTTAAACTTAACATTTACTTCTTATAAAAACGAGAACTAACACGATATATTTATTATTCTTATTTTATAAAGTATTTTTTTACAATTTCAGCGGCCCGCTTATTATCATTTAGATATTGTGAGCTCCTAGATTGAACATTTGTGTTCACATTAATGAAGTTGATTTCTGATTACCGTCTTTTATTTACACATGTAACACGTATCACATGATGATCGGATAATGAATAGTTGTATAAGAATATTTCCAAACTGAAAATAAAGTAAGGATTATTATAAAAACTCGATAAACACGTTAATAATAAAATGTAAAAACTACATTCGATAGCAGCTTTGTTTTGCTGACAATTACTTCGTGATCGTCGGTGGTCACTCGCAGCCGAGAACGGACTTTTTGCAGCAGTTGCAGCATTTGGGCAGCAGCAGGTGGGGGCGGCGCGTGACGTTGTAAGGCCGGCGCACGTTGTCGGTGTGGGCGGGAAGGTACACGCGCCCTTTGCTGTCGTACTTAGGCCCTTCCGGCATCAATACGTGTCGGTGACATAGACGACCCTGGTAGAAAATGATACAAACTGAAGTGAACTGAACTCTAACTACACAATAGGGCTTTGTATTTCGGTGGTATATGATACAAACGACAAACCCGTATTCTCCAGTAGTGTACGCGGCCGCCGACTGCTGGTAGCATGTCTAGCCGATCAGGGTCCAAGGGCTCGGTAGTGCCACCACCGCTCTCGTCTCCGTCTAGCCATCCTCTCTTCTGCGCAGTTTTCCTATTCTTTGCCACTCTTAACCCTTTCGTATTTGCTGTCGACCCTCCCCTCGTGAAGAATCCCGAAACCTGTGTTCTCGCAGCTATTTTACTGCTTAGAAATTCTTTAAACAAGTCCTTATTTTTCTCAAAGAATTTTTGAAATTTTTCTATTTTACTTGGATTAGATTTTAAAATCGCTCGCTTTTGTGTAGTGATTTTTGGCTGGCTTTGTATAGGCAATCTATTTAAGTTCTTTTGACTTCCGAAGGGTGTTATTTTCCAATTTCCCAATTTACTTTTTCGATACTTCGTAAAATTGTGTCCAATTACGTTTTGTTCTAACTCGTACATTAGATTCTCATCGAACAGTTCACTTTTGCCCTCTTTATTGGCCCTCCTCAATCCCTTCAGTTTATTTATTTCAATATAAGAAGGGAACGTCGTAGTTATAACAGAATCTGTCACAGTTTCAAATTTGATAGCCGGTGCGTCGGTGTAATCATCATTATTTCTACGAAGATTCAATTTGACAACTTCCACCAAATCCCTGTTACCTGTTTAAAGTTATACAGCGATCATCAATTATATGAAACGAAATTCCAACCATATATCAATATGAATTCAAAAAGTCATATTCTATAAAGATCAGGGGAAAAAATACAGGCATGAGGCCCAATAAATAACCCCTAATTACCAGAAGATCGGCTGCCGAGCGACCACGACGAAAGTCTAATCAGTTAATAATAATGGTTTCCATTATTTTGGAGAATAAGAAGGCTATTGGGCGATAGTAGGACGGTACAGAGTGATCGCCTATTTTGGGATCGGATGTATTGACGCAATCTTCCAGCACTTTTTCCGAGTGAGGACAGGTACCGGAAGCATAATTGAGGAACAACCATCTGCTCGTCTTATCAATGTACTAGGAGTATAGATCTTTGCGTATAGCGCATTGCAACTACACTTAACTACACACAACTTCCGGCATCCGGCATCCCGTCTCAAAAGTATTTAATCTATATTGTGGAAACAAACCTGCGCCTTGGTTTTCGGGAACGAATGCAGCCTGGCGGCGGCCAAGGGCGACGCACAACAACAATAAAGTGTCGATCGGCTTCATGTTTCTGTCAGAATTTACAGAAACATTTAATATCAGCAAATGTTTAAATCAAAAGTGTATTTTATGAGTTTGTATTAAGCTTGACGTAGTGCGTTGCAGTGGCGCAATATTCACTAAACAATAAATGCCCACCCTCCGCCTGTTTCGCTGCACAATATATTTATTGGTGAATTTATCAGCTCCCAGCATTCACGACATACTATTTATTTCATACCTTTTATTTTCACAGCGAGCTTGCGAGTTTATTTGGTGATTTGGTTCAATACAATAATTCTATATTTTCTGAGTATTTTACTTTTAAAATGCACTCGTGGTGACTCATTTAATGTTTCAATCAAATATTTAAACGAGCGCCACCTCTAGAAATAAAAACGTCTCATTTGTTATTTACGATTTATAAACTGCAAATTTAGATCTTAATTTTTTTTCTAATATATTTTATAAAATATTAAGTAGATAAAAAGTACGCCTTTCTATTAACATAATAAGAATGCAATCCGTATTTTATAGCAAAAGTCCCGTAAAAGGATTTCAGCGCATTTACGTCTCTTACCTTGCTCATTAAATGATTCAGGTCAATAATAAAATAATTTTATAATAAATTCTCTTTGTTACATAAACACTTATATACTATTAAGCTTTTCACTTCTCGGGGCGTCTGTTTCGCGGAAGTGAGGCGAAGAGTCATTAAGGTGAGGAAGTAGGTCATCCTCGTCACTGATGAGTTCTCCGAAGTCTTGCATGTATTGTCTCCGTGAGCGTGGCAGCCGGAACTCGGGAAACGGTCCACCTCCGAGGTTGATGATGGCCACGCCATCCTTACTCTCTTCTTGGATTAGCCGCTCACCACCACTTCGCCTTGACTTGTGTTTTATCTAGCAAAAATATTTATCAAAATCCTTAGAGGAATTGTCATTGCTTTGGTAATGACAACTTTCATTGGCATCTCAATATTGTTCCCTCAACGCCACTATAATTAAAACCGAGGTGAAAACCACGAACTCAGAGTCCCCCCAGTATTAATGAATTGAGGCTGTTTAAAATTAGCCAAGTTGTTCAAGGAAATAATTCGTTTCGTAAGTGACATTTCACATCCTAAATTAAATATTATGTCTTTATTAAAGAAAAATTTCTAGAGGACGGATAATCTCTTGGTCACAACTAAGTCGGAAATAACGAACTGATAGCACTCGCCTTTTAAGTCTAACACTTTCCTTAAAGCCACAGCCAGCATTGGAATACTTGGCGTTGACATATCGAACGACGTTCAGTTTCGCGGTCACTTGGAGGGAAAGGCCTCCAAAAAGCTTTGTGTGTTCGGCAAGGCGAGACAGTACTTCACTCCGTGCCACCGCATGCAACTATATAAAGCGCAAATTCGGCCCCACATGGAGTACTGCTCTCACCTCTGGGCGGGGGCTCCCCAGTACCAGTACCAGCTCCTTCCACTTGACCGTATTCAACGCAGAGGAGTTCGTATCGTCGACGACCAATCGCTCTCCGAGCGGCTTGATCCTTTGGCGTTGCGTAGAGATGTGGGGTCACTCTGCATCTTCTACCGCATTTACCATGGAGAGTGTTCGGATTAATACCTGCAGCTGAGTTTTATCATCGGACGTCGAGGCAGAATACGAAATTCCACCCGTATCACCTCGACGTCCGCCGTTCCACAACTGAGCGTTTTTCAAGGCAGTTTTTGCCGCGCACCACCACTATGTGGAACCAGCTGCCCACTGAAGTATTTCCGAACCAATTCGACTTAGGGTCCTTTAAGAAAAGAGCGTACCAATTCTTAAAAGGCCGGCAACGCACTCGCGAGCCTCCTGGCATTGAGAGTGTCCATGGGCGGCGGTATCACTTAACATCAGGTGAGCCTCCTGCCCGTTTGCCCCCTGTTCTATAAAAAAAAAATGCTGAATGCATTTATACCTTCAAAACTTTGTACTTGACGACTGGTTCTTGAGGCAGCAGATGTCGGTCGTCAACGTAGTACAACAGATCATTCTGAGACACAAGCGGCTCTCCCTCTCTTATAGTGCTCGTTGTATCTTTCAAGTACAGTGTCTTTGTCTAGAAACAATAATTCCTAATGATATTCCTAAAAATGTGGTCTACTGGTGGTGAAATTGTTTGGGTAATAATATTTAAAAATAATATTAGATTTATATTCTGGTTTCTTTTGCACAGTGTCACGCACTACTTGTCCTCCGTAACAAATGTTATACTTGCATTTTGATTGTTAAATATGGGGGTATGTTTGAGAGCGGTAGCGGTCGTACTATCATTCTCACGTGATTCGGCTCGACGGTGTATCTCCATGCTCTCGGCCGACGAGTAGTCGTAGTTGTCTTTGGTCAATTTCTTTCTCAGTGTGACAATTAGAGCTTTAGATTTTTCATCTGAAAACTTATCTAAAACAAAAGATTAAAAAGAAGTTTCAAAATGTTTACCGGACTCACTGTTGACTTGCTTTATTACCTTCACACGCAGAATTAATAAGCAGATAGGCTAATAGCAAAAAAAAGAGCATCTTGTCATTGCGCCGAACACACATCAACAGATAAATGCAGCATTTTCCTGGCACACATTAGCAGCTGCTCCCGGAGACGCGGGGAAGAAAGAGGGGGAGGGGGTCTATGAAAAATCACGTTTTAATTACGTCTCTAGAGGGTGCTGAAGGTCGGCGCTGCTTGTCTTGTCATTTAGTGTGGCGTCGTACTAATCAGCGCCTGTTCCCCTGAGAGTCACTCATTAATAACATCGGTTCGTAGCATAATATTTATTTGAATAATTCTAAGAAAATAACAAAGCCGTATAAAAGTGCGTAGTTGTGAAATTGCATTTGGGTGTAAAATTATAGACCCGGCAATAAAATACGAAATACAATTATTTGTATATACTAATAATTGTACCGCTTACCTAACTACTTTGGCCAACATTTGTCAAACAAAATTTTATTATGTAACTCGTTTAATTTATGTACCTATTACCACCACACAGTTGAGCTAACAATAATCCATAAGCGCTAAATTACAAGATTTTTTATAAAAGTCTTTGATTACTCAGCAATGTTGTCTCAAAGAGGCGGTAGACAATGAATGCGGTGGCACTCTCATTACAATCCTTTGCGGAGACCTCACTGGAGTGAGCGGTCCGATTGTGTTATGGAGTTTTTAAATACAATCTATTGTTATTGAGAAGTCCCGTCTCGTCGACCTCGTGGCTATAGGTACCAAAAACTGTGAAGGATCAACGTGTTTATGAATTACAATAAATTATTAAGTAGTTGATTTGATTATTCTTGATGTATTAAATCTTCATTGAATTAAACTGAATAATATTGAATTATTTGTATCGCAGTAGTTTAATCTACATCGCTATATCCTTAAGAAAAATGGTATCAAAGTGAAGTTATAAGAGTTGGACGGCTAGCAGAGCACGGCACACGATGACGTCATGGTCACGTCAAGAGGGTCACGATGTCGGCAAAACAGTGCTTTTACAAATTGTGAACACTGACAATTTGTATATATTACTCGATCTTTTCTCTAAGTTGTTATGTGACGTCAGCCTGTAAACCTTTTATTGATACTCCACTACACACTTTAGATCCATTCGACATAATAACGCAATTTTTTATAGGAAACATTGAGGATTTCTTCTACGTATTATCTAATTAATAATACATTTTCTTTGTAAGGCAATACTTATCCTAGGTAGTAATTATTTTTCATAGCGTTATGATAATGATATGCGCTATGCGACGTATCTGTGATTTAATCATCTCATTTTTCGCGTAACGAATTGAAATCTCATGAAATTTGGAATGATTGGTTGTTGATAATAGTCATTATCTTTTATATTGTTTGTACATGGCTACATAATTCTTGGACGTAAACACGTTTCTGGATACTTCGTTAATTATTAATTTTCTCATACATACATTTTACACTATTGTAGGTACTAAGTAATTCAAGTATCGGCACTTACAACAGCAGAGCTATTATGAAGCACGGAATGTGCCGCTCTTCCTCCAACCTAAAGAGGATTCTCGACCACTAATGACGGGTTCGCAGGTCCCAGTGGCTAAGGTACAGAAGAAATTTGTTTATACTAAAAATCTAAGGCATCCGTAAAGCTTAATACTTCACTAAAAGAGAGCATTATTAATTCATATACCTACCCGTAGGCTCGCGAGTGTACTACCTTTCCATTTTAGTATTATTTCTGCTAGCATGTAATTTCCATAATACAACATACGTCTGTTTTTTCACTCGGAGTTGATTTGATTTGATTAAAAACATCGTCTCGCGTTATGAATATTACAATTTGAACTGGATCCACGCCTGAATATATACAATATATATTATATATGTATAGATACAATTATATATATATAGTTTAAGAGCAACTTTTTCATTATGTGACTCACATATGATTAATTATCATCAGGAATGACTGAAGAAGCTCCTGTGGATCTTTACCAGTATTCTTATATACAACAAACGATGCTTTCTGCTGGTATGTCGTTGGATGATCATGAATAAGTAAGATATGGACTTGGAATATGACTCAATTAATAGTTTAAGTAACAATCACCTTCGAGCGTTCGTTTAAAACATTCACGTACCTAAGTCAAAATAAACAAGTAACAACCAGAAATGAAGGCGCGACCCTCGCGGCACGTGAGCGGCTCTCGTCGCACATAGATACTACCAACGTTAATGCATAGTGAACGGAAGATTTATTAATAATAATCTTAGGGATCAGAAGCGGTAAATATTTAAAAAAAACAAAGCACTTGGTCAACCTAGAACGTTCTATTCCTTACAAAATGATTTTATTTAACTAACTACAACAATGAAATAATAATCGACCAAAAATAATAATTAACACAACTAAATCCGGTCCGGCTTGCTGGGTGGGGATTTCTATCTAAGAATATATATTTAATTAAAATATAACCTAGGTACTTTGTCTTGTATTTCACTGTGACTAGTAATTAAACGTCACTTCTACAACAGTAACGACGATTTAATGCACCTACATCGAGTAGGTAATGCAAGACACAAAAAACGAGCGATTTTAATAAAAAAATTCATCCTCAATATTCACGTAATTCAATATATTATAGTGATTTTTATAGAACAATACAATAATGAAGTAGTAGTATCATTGCTACACACGAAACAAATTTAAATAGTATAATACTAAATCGGTTGTGTATTGTTAAAGAAAACTAAGCGAATATTATATCTCAATATAGTATAGTAGTTTATTAAATGTATAATAAAATTTGTCGCTCTTATCTGTGCCTTTCTCCGCGCAACATGATTCTGGGAACAATATACCGTAGTAATTACAGGTTTTTGCACATTTCACTCATTTCTGATATTTTTGTCCAATTTGCGTCCACTCACAGCAAATAATATCCTTCCCAGTATTTTACAATTCAGCTGTTTTGTAATCACTTACCGATATTTCACCACAGGAATTATTTTCATAATGCCTGCTCAAAATTAAGGGAACTCATTTCACATTGACAATAATATTTATTTAATAATTACACCTAAATATAATATATATATATTCATAGCTGTTTCGGAATGATACCAATTTACTTGCTTGTGGCCAGTAGTTACGTATTATTATTTTTTAAAGAATACCACTTTGTGGCGAACTTCACCAAGAATTAATGAGGTTAAATGTAATAATAACTTAAAGTAATTAATTAATTAAATAATATGTACTTAAATACCGCAGCGCAATGCTTGATACTATTATTATAAATGTTTATACATTTTCTTATAAATGTTGCAATCATATCACGTGACTATGTGTAGACAACGCTGGCAATGGTGACATTGCGCGACACAGGAAGGCTTTCACGCGATCTCACCGAAATTCTATTCTACCCTCCTTTGTTCCACTCATTGATAGGCTGCCAATGTCTAGTCAATATTTTTTGGGAAAACTCATATAGAAACTAGAATTTGTCAATATTTTATAAAACCAATTACAAACTTAAATGCGTTGTAGTAGATAATAATGGTCAATTTAAGGGAAAATATGACATTGAGAAACATGATTTTCAGAATCCACACCAGTTAGCTAAAAGAAATCAAGAAAACGTAAGCGTAAAACAATATTTGTGGAGTAACTTTATTAAAGAACATTAAAGGTAATTAATAAACAGATAGGTGGTAGCACTAATTAAAAATCACAAGATAAGATCTTATTCTGGACGGGAAATGCTACTCTGTGCTAGTGTGTATTGTGTAGCTCTAGGCTGAAGATCTGCGTGAGTATAGTGATTTAGTGAGGAATGTCGTGAGGACAAGAATCTTTTAATACGCGTAACTAATAATCTACGGCGGGGCACGGGGGCTAATTCATAATAATTATCGACAATGATTTGGTGCATCTCGTCCGTTCAGCCACCAATAGCTTAGGCGGAACGAATAAAAGTATTGCAGGAGGCTCTTCAGATAGTGAGCAGCACCGCTCAACCGCACTGGAAAGGAAGGCTTGTGAGGTTGAGTTGCCGGCCCTTTGAGAATCGCAACGGTTTTAAAATCTTTACGTGAGCTGGTTTCCGCACGGGCACGGCGTGACCAACGATATTCACGTCTTACTGTAATGTTATCAAATTTACCTTTAGATGATAGAAACAAATTGAACAAAAACTAATTGGTGCATCTCCCAGGAGCAGGACCGGAGTTTCCCGCCTGCCAAGAGCAAACACTTTCGGTGCTGTGGCGAACGAATAAAGTATCTCTATCGCATTGGGGTCTTTTTACAAGGATAGGTAAAGTCAGGCAACGATCAAGAACAAAGCAATGTAAATGTCTGATGTAAGAGAGGCTTGTGAACGGGTTGAGTTGCCCGGCCCTTGCTGGTTTAATTATTACCGATACATAGAAAAAGTTGCATAATACGGATTCGAAAAACTTTATTCAGCTTGTTTCAGTGCCTTCACATTCACATGGTACGGCATGACCAACGATATTCGCGTCTTACTGCTAATATTATTAAATTTAATTTTTAGATCGTATAGAAGCAAATTTAACAAAAACTAATTGATGGAAAATGGCACAGGAGCAGGACCTGGAAGTTTCTCGTTTCTGAGACCAAACACTTTCTGGTCGCTGAGGCGAAGTGAGTAAGTAAATGCTTGTCTTTTTAAGGTACATTGCATGGGTATTTTTTACTAAGGATAAATAAATAATGTCAGGTCAAAGTTATATATCTATCAAGAAACAAATCAATTTACGTCTCTGCGATGTATGATGAAAGGACTACGCCGAACTCAAATTTAAGTATGGCACCATCAGCAAGTAGCTGGTTTAATTATTACCGATACATAGAAAAGGTTTCATAATACGGATACGAAATATACATTTTCTTCTTCTTCTTTAAGTGCCTCTCCATTACACATGGTACGGCATGACCAACGATATTCGCGTCTTACTGCTAATATTATTAAATTTAATTTTTAGATCGTATAGAAGCAAATTTAACAAAAACTAATTGGTGGAAAATGGCACAGGAGCAGGACCTGGAAGTTTCTCGTTTCTGAGACCAAACACTTTCTGGTCGCTGAGGCGAAGTGAGTAAGTAAATGCTTGTCTTTTTAAGGTACATTGCATGGGTATTTTTTACTAAGGATAAATAAATAATGTCAGGTCAAAGTTATATTATATCTATCAAGAAACAAATCAATTTACGTCTCTGCGATGTATGATGAAAGGACTACGCCGAACTCAAATTTAAGTATGGCACCATCAGCAAGTAGCTGGTTTAATTATTACCGATACATAGAAAAGGTTTCATAATACGGATACGAAATATACATTTTCTTCTTCTTCTTTAAGTGCCTCTCCATTACTGAAGGTTGGCCGTCGGTCTCTTAAAGCGTGACCTGTGCCAGACGCAGCACCTCTTCCGCAGTCGCATTAATTTTGTACTTTTCCTTAGATTTAATGATATCAAAAACCTCTGGTTGCCCTAGAATATCAATATATTTATTCAACGCCATCACCCAGCTACATGCTACAACCGTACCGCCTAATGCGCAATGGACTAAAACGAGTGAAGAGGTCGCAATCTGCATCAAACATATGTGAGTGTATGTATTTCCGGTAAAGCAAAAGTAATTATGATCAATGATATAATTTTAGTAAGGCTAGAATTATATTCCTTTGTGTTCTAAGACAAAATACTAGCAAGCTAATAAACCAAAATACCAGGCCGGGCGAAGCGCCATTAAATTATTTGTAAGGGACAAAAAAATCACTTATCCTATAATTTCTAAATCACCTTACCTTCCCCATATTCTTTTTACAATGGGCCAAGACAAAAGCTACTACCATTATTGGTAGGGAAATGCAACTTTCAAAAACGGGTTCGATTTTTAAACCTAATGTGACCCCAGGAGTAGTTCATAATAATTGTTAGTTTAATGTAAAATAAAATAAAAACTACCTTCTCGTTAACAGTTTTAAGGAAATCATATTAAAGTAAGTAAATATATCATGAAATGAATAATAGAATAATAAATTGCCAACCCTATCGCTCCGTGGAGAGCCGTCGGTAAAATCAGTCATTGTTATAGCAGATGTTTTAGCGCTCAAATTGTAATTTGCTAAATTGTCCCTTTCTACATCAGGAGGGAGTGGTTTTCAGGTGATCCAAATGTAATTTCTAATTAGCTAAGTGCGGCTGACAACTAAAATATATCTAAATGACTTTGATTTTTTTAAATTTCCACCATTCCTTCGTACATTACGATTTGTAAATTTATGTAACCAAATTCTTTAAGAATTCATTTCATTGATGGGAACAAAATTAGTTCTGGCAGTACAATAATATAGTTTTATCCATAATAATTTGCCATTTTAAGGCACGCTTTAACCTCAGAAAAAAAGATTTCAAGCCACAACTTAGGTTTATAATATTGTTGTACTTAGAATTTGACTGGAGTTGGAGCTAATTGGTGGTTGGTATTCAGGACTATAGAAAGTACTGTATTTTTTGGTGTAAGTAGTGGGTGTCTAGGCCAGTGTTGTCAGTAAATAAATAGCGTTGCTTAAAGGAATTGAAACAAAACACTTCGATGTAACGAGCGTCGACCCGCTTCAGCTGAGAATTCTCCTTGTGCATTGCATTGCATTGGAAGTATTAAAAAAACAGAGATTTCAAAATATATCATGCAATATAAAACCAATATATTAAAACATATACTGCCATTTCTTTTGCTGTTGTTTGCAAGTACATTTGTTTAATTCAATGGGGTAAATGGAAATCAGGAAATATGATTTTCGCATTTAAGAAAAATACGTTGCTGCTAACTAAAAGATTATCGTAAATATGTTATGAGGTGGTGTGTTAAAAAAAGAGTTAGACCAATTACTCTGTGCACCTCGCAATCGCAATCGAAGAGCTCACCAAATCTCGCTGAGAGAATTCACCGACCGATACAGTTTACAGATTTCACTCGACACACGCCGCTTTGTCTTGTATTCCATTTCCTCCGCTCTCCAGGCACATTTTACAGAGTAAAATATTGGTTTAATTAGAGATAATAAACCACTCTGGCACACCCACTAAAAAACTTAACGACCTGACTTATACATAGAAAACAGAACGAGTGTTGATATCCGGTATGTGTTTCTCAACGTGATTTATCTAGTTTCGTAATTAAAGTGTTTTCGCTACATAATTGATTTACCTGCGTCGCTGGCAAAATTCACCAGGCTATAGGCTGAAGTGTAATCGACACGCGTTTGACCGTTATTTGTTAACAAGTAGGTTTCATGCATTCAGGTCGACCTCCTGCAGTTTGTTGCAAATATAAATGTTGAGATGAATTAAAACAAAATAAATCACTCAATAAGTAAATGTTCAGTCAGCATGTTTAGTGTCACGCCCGTTTCCTGTTCTTTATTTCGACTCGGTCTCTCGGGGATGTTCGCTACGAAGGTTTTTTAATAATAAAAGGATAAATCACTAGTAGTTGCTCGTGATTAGTAAAATTATAAGGAGGCGTATTTTGCCATTAAACTATTTAATATTCGAATTTTGGCTGTACTATGGTATTCGAAGTATTAGAATGAAATACTTAGGGGTGTTTAATAAATGATGATAATTAAAAAAAGTGATAAAAAAATCGTGTTTTGTGGCGACTACTACGTCATCGTCTTAAAATGTATGGCCCTTCAGGTGTCCCTTTAACCGAGGAAATAGGTAGAAACCACCATAGCTCCAGTGAATTCGAAGGATTTTCTCAATCTTCAATTCGAAACCAGACTCTTGAATAGCAGCCATCGCAACTCTGGACTTGTGTGCGGGGGCGTTATGTTGGTGGAAGAAAACCACGTTTAGCGAATTTACCACGCCTTTGCTTGCGTATTTCTAAACGCAACTTTGTTATCTGTACTGCGTACAAAGCCCCCGTAATAGTAGCTCCATGACTATGGTTTAATAAAAAAATTCAAGCAGAGATATTTTATCACTCCGTGAATACACATCGCAAACAAATTAGTTCTATTTTAAAAAATAAAAGAGAACTCACTACTTTTTGTAGCATTATTATATTATCTTACGTCTGTGCTACGCCTGTATATATGCCCCAACCCGGGTGTGGTACGAGGTGGTAAATCGAAACGTAAAATTAAAGTAAATTAAAACCATATTAATTAATTAATATTTGCTTTGCATTGGAATAAGACTGCGAGGCGTAGCTAGTTTTCAAAATGCTCAGGAAGCTGATTATAAACTCACATAAAACATGTAAACATAAAATTACCGATAAAGTCTGCATCGAGCGTCATGTACTTGACTATAACATGCGCGTTGTTCACGAGTGTGCTACTTTATGTTGTGAGTTAAAACCGTTTCGTTCTTATATTTATGACTTTTATTGAGCATTTTTATTCGTAGCATTCAATATTAAAATAAAAACATGTTGCACATAGTAAACGATAACATAAACTTGGTTTTATATTACTATGCTGTGAGCTCGACTTCAAAGCCTACAATTACACACATATTTTAAACTAAAAATTTAATTCTAGAAATAAAAAAATGCCAATTCAATGTTTATAGATCGGCACACATAATTTGTTTACTTTATATTTATGTGACAGAATAGCACTCACATATTTACTTTGGACAAGGACTTTAACAAATTGAAGACAGACGAGGCGCTCGCGAAACACGTAAGTATCTTCTGTTAGTAAGACGAACCCCTTGGGCATAGGGTAAGCATTTTACTTATCTAGCAAGTTAAGCAAGTATCAGCGTTAAATAAATAATAACACTGTATACATTAATATATGTTAATATGTTCTTTCAGGTAGGAGAGATTGTGAAGAAGCTAAAGACCTTCAAAGTGGCCGTGCATCCTCGAATTCGTTTGTTTTATCAGCTTCTAAAACGCGGCATGTCAGACTTCGCCCAAAGAAATTCGGACTCTCTGTATAACCCACGCGTGTACCAGATCGAGGATAACAAAGCCTAAAAGATGCCTCATCATTTACATATCTAATGTGTAGAACTTTTCTACCATATTAAAGCATAACTCTGTCTCTAAAAACTGTTTGAATTAATCATCTGGTTGACAATTAATATAATACTATAATTTTTAAAAATAACAAAAGATAATACAAATAGTTGGACTGCATTGTGTCATTATGTATGCATCGGACGGACACAAGAATGTAAAATAATTGGTTGCATCGAGCGTCCAATTTGTGAGGAGTTGCCAATTATTGCCGAGCTTCGGATTTACGGAACGCCGACATTGAAGTCTCCAAGATAATAATATTTATATTAAAGCTAGCTTTAAAAGCATTATGGCAGAAGCATAACTGAAATTACTGCTTATAATACTGCTAGTCAGAGGAACAGCGAAGCTCCACTTACGACCCCTAGCACCTCAGACCTCGAGAAACGAGATTCGACTTGCGGGTTACATTATTACTTTTTTGAAGAAAAAGGCCCAATATTAATGAACAAAGTCGCGTGCTAAAGCCAGTAATGTCATAATTGAATTCGTGGTTTGCAGGGGAGGGAGGAATTTTGAGCAAAATTCAAATCTATTTTCAATTGAAATATTCAAATTTGCCCGTAATATTGGTATTTTGGACGTCGGTATGTGGTTTTCAGTAACTGCGGTTGCAGGTTCGATTTCCGCCATAATTGACGAACAGAGGGATTAGAACGTTATTGGATTTTTAACGAGATTTCTCTTTAAGTAGATTTTTCTTTTGCGGGAAAAGATTATTTAGCGTGACGCTTTAGCAAGTTTATAAAAGAACACACAAGCAAAAATAATGTATCGCATTTTTTGCCTTAATTAAACAATGGAGATCCTATATTTTGTTGATATTGAAATATATTTATTTATCTTGTAGTTAATATTGTCTCGAAATACATTAACGCCCAACTGCTCCAACTAATACTTTAAAGAAATTTATAAAAATAAGAAGCACCATAAGACTCATTTCATATACACCAACAGTCTTGACTTTGTTTTTTATAATATAACGAATACAGCTGTGTAAGCACTGACAGTACGAAATGATGTCAGGCACAGAATATTTTTCTTACTTTTACTCCCGTACAAAGTACATACCATAGAAAAAGAAGTAAGAAAGAGAAGAGAAAGTAAAGCTCGGTGATTAAATTTAAATGAGTTATTAAAACGTTAACTTTAAAACGTCAACGTATCGTAGCTGTTTACATAATATATTTCGTTTCGATAAATAAATTTAGTTGAAGTTCTTCAAATAAGTGAAATATTTGAATTGAAAAAAACCAACCACGTCGTATTATACACATTAAACACATTTAATAACACTTCAAAAAACAATATTGATATGTTTAATAATTAATAATAAAAAACGAGTAATCTGTCCTTTCGATCGAAAGTCCACCGATCTTTGGGGGTTGTCAGTTCAAATAATATCCTCAATAATTGAATGTATTTCCCTTCTGGCATTGTGTTCAACTCTTGTGTCGCATCTGGTGTGTTTCCGGATTAATGAAGTTAAGCAAGGTGATTCCACTCTTCAAATCTGGTAGTACAACCGATCCTACGAATTTTCGCCCTATCTCAATTTTGCCTACACTGAGCAAAATTTTTGAGAAAAATAATTTTAAAGCAAATGCTAAAGCATTTTAACAGACAGAATTTTTTCACTCCAAACAATTTGGATTTACTAAGGGTCGGTCTCTGCAGATGCAGGTGTGGAACTACTCAAAAATGTATTCGAGGCTTGGGAGAATTCACAGGATGCTTTAGGCATATTCTGTGACTTGTCCAAAGCTTTTGACTGTGTTTGCCATGACACACTTATCAAGAAACTACACCACTATGGCATTAGAAATAAGGCTCTTAGACTTCTAGTTCATATTTAGACAATAGAATACAAAGTGTGATATTAATGGCAAAAATCAGGCTGTGGTAATATGGGTGTTCCGAGGGTTCAATTAGGTCCTTTCTTATCCTATCTATATCAATGATTTACCTTTTTGTGTAAGGGATGATCACAAAATCCTATTATTTGCGGATGACACTTCGTTGTTTTTAAAGTTAAGCGTCAACTTGAAAATTTTGACCAAGTTAATTTGGCACTACTAAGTTCCATTGGTTTAATGTTAATAATTGCTTTTGAACTCAAGTAAAACTAAATTAATAAAATTTTCTACGCCAATGTGAGACAGTTAGCACCAATGTACAACTGAATGGAGTAGAGTTGGAACCTGTTGAGTCAACTTTTTTCTGGCATTACTGTTGACGCTAAACTACAGTGGGGCCCACACATTAACAAATTGTCTGGAAGGCTAGTTCAGCTGCTTATGCTGTAAGGAAAATTAGACAAATTACTGATGTGAAACAGCCAGAATTTTTATTCAGTTTTCATAGCTTGATGACGTACGGCATTCTCCTTTGGGGAAACTGTGCGGATATTAATACAATCTTCTTATTACAAAAAAGAGCTGTCCGCGCTATATATAACTTAGGTCCTAGAGTTTCTCTCCGAGAGAAATTCAAAGAGATAAACATTCTGACTGTAACTTCACAATATATTTTTGAAAATTTACTTTATGTTCACAAAAACGAACCGGATTTTGTCAAATTGTCTGATCTTCACTCCCGAAATACTAGGAACAAAAATAATTTAACAGTTCATGCTACTCGCCTTCATAGAATAAGCAACTCGTTCATGGGTCAATGTATACGTTTTACAATAAACTTCCTATGGATGTTCGTAAACTTCCCTTAGAAATTTAAATTTTTTATTAAATCAAAATTATTAACTAAAGGATATTACAGGATATCCGATTATTTAAATGATAGAAACGCCGGATGAGGCGCTTTACAACTATGCTTGTTTTTCTTTTTAAGCTTTTTCACTTTTTTTTTCTTTTTTTTTGCATGTAAATTTACAACTGAAGCTGGTGCAGATTATTTTATCTATTAAGGGAAACATTTTTACATTTTTTTCTCTACATTACTGACATGTTTGTGTTAGTGCATATTCATTTTTTTGCACAAAGTTTTGCATACAATATTTTACACTTTGACATGCAAGTGAATAATGTTTATATTACGATTATTTCAATTTAATTATTTTTCCTTGTTTAAGGTAACTTAAATATACATTTTGTATCCATTGTAAGTGTAAACATTATGCGGGTATATCATAAACTTTTGCTTGATTTATAATTTGAAATTAGCTTAGTTATTTTGGGCTGGCGATCTGAGTGAGTTGTGCCCCACATACTTAGGGCTGGCGGTATTGTGTGTACGGGTGTGCAGCTCCCTCAAATGGTTGAGCGATGAGTATTCGGGGCATGTAGCCGTCTGCTGGCGCAGGCTTGTCAGATCGATCTGTCTTTCTTCCAAAGACCATCCAGTAATTACTCTGCATTTGTTTACACCAACTTATTAATTTATTATTGTATATCTGGACTATAAAGAGACTGACCCCCGTTTTCGACATTTCTTCTCAGGGCATCAGTTAGGAAATGTCGACTTCATCTGTTTAGGAAGACATTGTAAAGTGATAAAGTCCTATTGCAAGAATAAACTATTTCATTTCATTCCTTTTTAGCAAGTTCGGAAGATATATCCAGCCCTCCTAAAATATTATAGAAAAACCTGTCGTTACTGATATTGTTTAAATATGTTATTTTAAGCTATATAATACTATTTTTAATGCATAGTTTATTGAAACAGATACCTAGTCAATGATTAAACTTCCAGGTTTGGCACTCGTATGTTAGTTTTTTTTTAAATTTAGGGATTTCTTTTATTAATATTTTACAGGCAAATATCACTAACTCAAAATTAAATTGCCGTCGTACCCGCTATTTGTGTACAAAACGATTATCATGTATCGGTAACGTTTTAAATGTTTTTTGAAATAATCATTACGATACCTCACTATGCGTGTTCACCATAACTTTGCACTATACTCGTACAAATCGATGTCGTCTACATAATATACATACTTTTTCTCGATATCTTCCCTTATTCACAAATATTATTAAAAAATAAAATTAAGAGAATTCATTAAAATATGATGTTGATAACGCATCGGTTTGAGAAATTCTTGTATTTTGGTGCAAATAGCGGTAACAGGTACAAACTTAGTTATAATTCGTAGAAGGTTCGTAGCTTCTTAGCCCTCCCATAGTGGCTTCGTAGCCCGTAGGCTAACAACTTGACGCTAAGGTATCCAGCCATGTAATTAAAGTTACACACCCTTATTCATGTGGATGGCGTTTTTGTTAATCAATAAATAAAGAAAACCAATATTTTGCAGTAATGTTTTATTACTGTAGTAAACAACTCCCGGAACCCATGAGATTAAACAGTTATAAATATAAAAGGGAAATACTAAATACAATTGTTTAATTGAAATTATAAGAAATATTTTCGTTGAGCGCTAATGCGCTAACGCTAATGCCGAATGTTGTGTTCATAATTTTGAAATGTTTTCTATATTTGTCTTTACTGTCATATATTGTTGGTTATTTTACAAAAATATATATATGGCGATCGTACCGCAAGAATAAGTCTGCGATTGTTATTCAAGTGGCGCCCTCCAGCTTGTTCACGGAATAAATCAGAAAAGAGATACGGTTTAGGGTTTATTGTGATTAGTTTTATCTCATTTATTCTTTGTATAGTTTAGTATGAGATCAGTTCATTAGTGAGTTCGGCAACTACAAGTTGGGTTTGTTGTAATACAAACGACATGGGTATTTGATACTGGAAATATTATTCTAGAATCAATTGGAAAGTTAATTAATTAGTTATTTTTAGGATTAGCACTTAAGAAGTATCTTTAATGCTTAGAAAATCCACGAAAACCTTTCCTTAAAGATATTTAATCAAAACTTGGTCTCCACTTGGCCCAACATCGGGAACAATAAGTTACAATAGATCCATTTAAAGGGTAAACTCTAAATAATAGTCATAGATTGTAGAGGGCGAGGCACCCCGGGCCAAATCCTAAACGGCTTAACCTAAGACATGTTTACGACGCAACATGGCCGACACTTTATGGTTTTTCAACAAATTCCAATACATTGGATTTTCTTCGCGATAAATAATGGAGCAAAGATAACTATCGTTTTCATAAGATATACATAATTTGCTGAATTTAAATAGTCTTATGAAAAATATAAATTGGTTTTTGCATACACTGTTTATTTAGAGATTATGTATTTGGAGGATACATAAAAGATGTTCTAACTGTATTTCCGATGCCAACTGTTTGTTGTTTAATAGCGTGTAAGTTGAGGCAATTCTTAGAAAACTGAATTTGCACCAAAAGAGAGAGAAATAAAGGTAGGAGTTATAAAAATAAAGGCGAAGTTTGGGTTGGCTTATCTGCGTGACAGATGGCGCTATTAATGTAATGTTAAGTGATAAAATATAAATTGTTTTAATCTTTGCCGGCAAACTGGAGAGTTGAGACGTAAATTTAGGAAAATGATCGTAACGTTGCGTCGCTTTGAAATAAGACGCCTTAATCATTCTATTGTGAACTACCAAGGCTTTTTAAACATAAGATATTAATGAACAATACATAAACTATGACTTATATTAATTAGAAAGAGAGATAAACTGTTTGAATTGTTTCATTTCCGCGCCGGTGCCGCTACCTCACTCACTAAATACTTTACTGTCAGTGATGTGCAATTGCAAAGCCTTATTTCTTTAACTAAAACTCACAAAAATAAGCTACGTACCTACAGTTAAGGAAAAACTTAAGAATCCCCATCGTGATACATTTTAATCGTGCTTAAGCATTATATAGGCTCATACTACTATGTTGAATTGTATATCTTATGTAGTATGTATGGATATATCATGTTTATGAAAATCGTTAGTTATCGACATCTAATATCTATAAGTAAACCACTAGTGCATATTTGTCCCGCTTCCGCTTCCCGTCACATCCATTGAGTTACACTTCGTGTACTATTTATTTTTTATGTTTCTTTTACAATTTGTTTGGGGTGTTATTATTTCATAAGAAGTGCAAATTAAATTACTGGTGAAAGTATATTATATTTATCAGGCCTAAGAGTTAGGTTCTAACAATACCCTTTTTCAACCCATATATTTCTCTTTGTCTTAAAACTATTTAGTGTTAAAGTATGTCAATGATTAAGTATTTTAAATAATATAAATTTATATATAAAAAACCCGCATTTACAAAATTAATTCCGTCAGCAATCGTGGCCATCGTTCAACGAAACACATATTATTCGCATTATATTTCTATGGAGTTCAACGAAATATTCACATTCAAATTACCAGCACAGACAGTTAGTTACCTAAATGTATTAAAACTTCTCCTGAAATCAAAGCAATCTTATTTAATCCGAATCCATGGAACATGAATTCTACGTAAATTAGTAAAGTAAAAATAACCGTTCCTTTTATGTAACTCGAAGATTCATTCTCCTGTTTATGATGATGGCAATACATGCTATGTATAATTGTTATTTTATAAAGCTCTAGCCAATTGCAGTAAATACGAAATGCATGCCTCTTAAATGTTGTGTAAAAGCTGATCTGGGTAACAAAATATATTAAGTCAATATTCCTCTTTTTACTATTGAATTCATTAAACCACATCTGTTATTCATAACCAGCAATGGAGTTTACTATGTACAACATGTTTAAAAATTGTCATTCAAGTTTAATCCACCTAATGGCGCTTTCCATCGAAACCATTTACGTCACTAACGTAATCGAGTGACGTCACTCTTACTGTGACATGAAGGCTGAAGTTGTTAAATAAATTTCTCTTTTGTTGAATTTAATGTTGTAAAAAAAATTCTATAAATTTTTTTATTTATTTTATTGTTGATAGAAATCGATTTGTTATTTCATTTTATTGGAGTTTTCGCTAACCTGTTACTTTATATACCTAGCGTTGAGTTTAAAGAAACGTTTCAGAGTGCATATTGTAAATTTAAAACGTATTTTATACCTAAGACAAATATGCTAAAAATATATATAAATGCAATGCTTTTTGTGGTGTTTGTAACTTGTAGTAAAACAAGTAGAATTCAACAAAAAATTAAGGAATTGGAAAAAGAAGAAAATTATCTTTTGAAGGAATTGAACGTTATCATAAATAAAAACGTGGACTTCTTGGAGAAAGTAAACGATTCGGAGGCAGTACTTGGTGTTCATTACTTGAGAGACCTTCAAAAGCAAATAAAAGATCTTAATAGTTCCGATATTAGGGACATCGAAATCACTCATTCAGAACAATTCAATGACACGAGTAATACTTTTCGCCGCAAAGCAAAAAAAAAACCTCATCATGACTTTATGTTAGACTTAGAAAAAATTCTGAAACCTAAACATGTGTCGGAGAAAAAACTAAAACAAATGATCGACAACCGTGACGTAATAAAAAAGAAGTTAGACGATTGGATCTTAGAAAGAGAAAAAGAAAAGGAGCGGATAAGGAAGTATAGGATGCAGACTAAGTATCTTCTGCGTGCAGGCAAAGTGGAGAAATGTCCCAGGTTCGGCTTTTCAGGAAAGAAGAAAAAGCGAGATGATGACGATTATACCAGTTGCAAGAAGAAGTATAAAGACAGGTATGACAAGCATTGCGATCCGAATAGAAAAAAGGTGCCGAAGCCTCCGAAGACGCCTTCAAGCGGTAAAAAAATGTATCCGTGCTGTAGGAAGTGCTGCAAGAAGTCCTATATGGGGTGTCTTTAAATAATTTGCTATTATTTCCTTTTTTATTCAAGACACCACGAAATAGATATTTTAAAACATAAATAGGACAAGCAGATTTCCAAAACCATATCATTTATTTAATTTAATTTCTATAAAAGCGTATCCCAATCGCATTATAAGCCAGAGACGCCGGCTAATTTTATCCCGAGATTGTGTTTGGCGCCGCAGGGAATGCGCGTTGGTCAGTACTTATGTACTTAAAAGTACGCACATTTTTATTATTTTTTAAACTGTGTGCCACTAAAACTTACAGTAGCTAATCTTTATGAAGAAAATGGAAGATATAAAACTACGTAAAGCCCGTCAGCAGCTTACCATAAATAATTCAAGGGGAATCATTGCTTATCTCTACGATAGTTGGGTATTGTCTCTACCGGGCCACTGGCATCGGACTACCAATACTGGCACAATGAAAAAATGGGGATTCGGGCGAGTCACTGAGCCCGATAAGATAGCGTGGCTCTAACCCATTTGTATTATTGCCTGCCGCCGCTACTACGAGTCCTACGACTCGTCTCTTAGCACAATAAATAAGTTGCCATTCGTTAAAAATATAAACTTAATATTGCTTACAAGTATAGATACATGAAAAAGGATGTACTACGCGGTACTTAATGTCTATCTGACATTTCAAACATCAATATGGGCCATATCATATCGCGATTGGTGCATATAATTGTTTATTTTATTTTTTTTGTTAATCTATGCAGTACATTGTAGTGTAAGAAATTATAACATCTTCTATTAGTCTGCATTGAGCAGTGATTTAAAATACTTATCTCTCTCTCTCTCTATTTGCCGACTAACATTTGGTCTCGATTGTATCGTGAGTAGCGGTAGAAGAAATATCATACGGGTATGGAAGGTCCGCGGTTAAGACATTACTCAGATTAATTCGGGTCCGTAATGAACCTACCCTAAGACCCACATGCTATGTTTACTTATGTTCGATTTGATTAAATTTAATATTTTTTTACGCACCTAAAAACATATTAGGAAAAAAGAAAGTATAAACATAAGTCTGGATATAGTTAAATCAAAAATAAATTAGTGGCGCTACAACCTCTTTAGGTCTTGGCCTAAGATTTCTATATTTGTTTTATGATCATTTTTAAATCTAATAGGCAAGTAGGTGATCAGCCTCCAGTGCCTGACACACGCCGTCGACTTTTTGGGTCTAAGACATGTCGGTTTCCTCACGATGTTTTCCTTTACCGCTCGAGCAAATGTTAAATGCGCACATAGAAAGAAAGTCCATTGGTGCACAGCCGGGGATCGAACCTACGACCTCAGGTATGAGAGTCGTACGCTGAAGCCACTAGGCCAACACGGCTCTGGATATAGTTAAAATCATTTTAAATCTATTTGACTGATCGACGTAAAACGCTCCGCTCGTTTATCAGGCCTTGAATATAAACATACAAAAATCCAATTTACTACCAATATGCAGTCGTGAATAGGTACGAGGCGTAGAACACAATTGTGAAGCATTGAAAACGTAAATGAGTTAAAGACATTTTAAGAACAATACGTCAATCTCGTTATACAAGCGGAGGTTAAAGGGGGTGGAGAGGAGGGGAGGAGTGTCGAGAGGAAATATTCGATTGGGAAGTTGTTTCCCGACGAATTGTGAAAACTCGGAAATTGAGTAATAGGGCGGCGTTGTTTTGTTTACCGCCGTTTGCTTAATAATGTGTTATTTATTACATCGGAAGACCTCGCATGAATGCAGTTTTTTCCTTCTTGACATCTAATGGGTACTTTTAATAATTCAGCTTCTAGGCGTTTCAAAAGTACCTACTTTATATTATGTAAAACATCAGATTTTGTTTGGTAATCAATTAAAATGCCGAACTGTTGCCACGTTTGGATTCTTATAAACAACGTATTATATAATATATTTAACTACCTATATCCTTTTTTATGTAATAAGAGGCCAACGGGCAGGTGGCTCACCTGATGTTAAGTGATACCGCCCATGGACACTCACATTGCCAGAGGCTCGCAAGTGCATCACCGGCTTTTTAGGAATTGGTACGCTCTTTTCTTGCAGGAGGCTAAGTCGAATTGGTTGGAAAATACATCAGTATCTAATAGACGATTCACAATATAATTTTTTTAAATTCATACAAAATGCTACAATTTTATTACCAAACTGTGAATATTTTTAACGAACCACAGTTCTCTGTAATTAAATAACAATTTTCATATTGGCTCCGTTAGTTCGAGCCGTAAAGCCGAATTTTAGAATTTAAACATTTGAATACTAGGTCCCTACGTGCTTTTTAAATTATTTCATTGTGTTGTTTCCTTTGTAATTGCTGTCTATTTTATGGTGGTAACATTTAGAAATTGTAAGAAGGTTTTTATTTAATGTTTAAAGAACTTTATTTCTCATTACAAAAATTATTTTTTATTTACTTGAGAAATTTAATATTATATACGAACGAGATACACGTCGCCATCAGCTAGCCCAATTTTAGTCTAATGGGCTCATTCTGATGTGTATCTTTAATTCCCTTTTGAACTGATTAATCACGCTAATGTAAACGAACCTTAGACGGCAACCGATTAAACAATTGCACACCCTCATACCTAATAGATCTCTTTAAATACTTTGTGCGCGGCTTTGGCAAGATAAGCAAACTCGCTCGACGAGTATTGCGTGTAGTGGTGTCTTTGATTTTATTAAATGAAAGTTATTAGTTATTTATTTTTTTTAAAGGATACAGGTGCTATAAACATATTTGTTTAATCGTCATAATTTGGGTTTCTTGGTAGATTTTATTAGTAGGTGTTAAAAAATTGTATCTAAATAGGTAGTGCTTTTATTAATTTATTTTGTAACGTTTGTATTTAAGAAATTTTGTTATTGCATGCTGTACCCCATATTTCAATTAGGTATATGAAATGTGGCTTGACTAAACAATTATAAATCAAATGACGTACAGATTGCGGAATGCATTTTGATATTGACCAAAATCTGCCTATCAGTGATTTTAGTTTGGTAACTATGTGTGATATATTATGAAAGTTCCCTTTAAATTTGTATCCATTCTAATACACAGATATTTCTCCCATTTTTTGTTATTAATTTCAACGTCTTGAACTTTAAGCGGTTGAAAGATAGGAATGAGTTTATTTGTTGCCCTGAATATTACATAAGATGTTTTTGAAATATTAATTGTCAGAAGATTTTGTTGAAACCAAGAAGATAGAGCATTTAGGTCTGATTGAGATTGAGCAACCATAGTCTGGATATTTGAACCAAAGTAAAATAAGCAGGTGTCATCAGCGTAAAGATAGATTCGGCCGTGTAAACCGAGTTCGTGAATGTTGTTAATATATATTAAAAATAACAATGGACCTAATATAGATCCTTGTGGGACGCCACATGTTACTGGTATTTCTGAACTTTGAGCATTACCTATTTTTACTATCTGGGTTCTGTTTGATAGATAAGATTTGAATAATTTTAGTGCACAATATTTTATTCCTATGCATTCTAATTTTTTAAGCAATAAGTTGTGGCTTACGATGTCAAACGCTTTTTTCAAATCAATAAAGACACCCAGCGCCATTTTCTTAGTGGCTGATACAGTGCTGCTTTTTGATCTAAAACCATATTGGCGTTTAAAAATAAAATTGTTAGTTTCTAAGTAAGTGTCAATTCGTGAGTAAATAATTTTTTCTAATATTTTTGATATTGTAGGTAGAATAGATATTGGTCTGTAATTGCCGGGGTCGGTTTTGGGGCCAGATTTAGATGGAGTCACTTTGGCTTTCTTAAGAGAATCCGGAAATTCACCTTTATGCAGCAACTTATTAAAGCAGATCGAGAGATATTCAGAAATATAATTGACTACACATTTTACGGTTTTGGTGTCGATCCCATCTATTCCAGTACTACAATTTGTGTTTTTATTATATTGGTGATTTCAAGTGTTGTGCATGGATTAAAGTTAGATAGTTCAGAGTTAAGACTTTGAGGAAGTGCTAGTGTAAAATTAGTGTGAAATTGTGTTGGTATTTCATTGGCTAGTTTTAGCCCTATGGTAGAAAAGTATGTATTAAAAGCTGCACAAATATCGGTTGTTTGAGTTAACTCTTTAGTGTCTAACCACTTTATACAGGTAAACGTATAAAATATAGCTATTTTTTGTCTATGCTCGTGTAGTGGTTAGCTATTAATTACGTCGCATGCAACCGCAAATCAGACTGATACATAATGTAGCTCAAACAAGATGCATTACAAATAAAGTGTTCAAACAGCGAGCCGCTCGTCAAACTGATGCTTGCTGTGGGCAAGGTGAGTGCGTCTGTTTGTGGCCAAGTCAAGCTAACTGTCTTCCCGCGACCTGAATATTGAGAGGCCCACATTGCCTATAATATATGTATTTGTCGCAAAGTAACATGTAACAACAGTGGCATGTTTAGACATAAGTGTTAAGAGAGACGCAACATTGTTTGATTTCATTTTTGAAGTGAAACTTCTTTAGGCGCATGAGGGTAAAATTTTACGGATTTTTACGTCACGAAGATGTGCAGCGTTTTTTTTTTGAGAGAGAGTGAGAAGGGCGAATTACCTTATAGACATTCTATTTTTAAAATTCAAATTTCGTAAAGAGAATTTATGGAATATTAGTATTTTATATTTTATGCAAATAATTTTTTGAAATCTCAAATGACGAATTGTAAATTAAAAAGCCACGTGCTTTTATTATCGAAGAAATACATTGAAAAATTAAATTTATAATTTGTATTAATTTTCGATACTTTTAATATTTTAAGACCATTAAATTCATTAAATTCAACGTCTTGAACTTTAAGCGGTTGAAAGATAGGAATAGTTTATTTGTTGCCCTGAATATTACATAAGATGTTTTTGAAATATTAATTGTCAGGAAGATTTTGTTGAAACCAAGAAGATAGAGCATTTAGGTCTGATTGAGATTGAGCAACCATAGTCTGGATATTTG